GGCTAGGTGGAAGGAAAGGCAGGGGCTGGCTCTCTGAGGGAAAATCCTCCCCCTTCCTCCTTTCTCCTCTGGGGTATCTTTGAGGAAGGCTCCTCCACTGGGTGAATCAGGCGTAGATGCAAAGATGTGGAGACACTAGGTAGGCAACTTTAAAGGCTGGTACGGGCTGATTTGATTAAGCACTGCAACCTCATGGCGGATGCAGAACCACCCCCTCTCAGCCCCAGGGGCCCCTGGGCTTGGGTCAGAGATAGGAAACAGTGGAAAATGGAGCCTCCGATGGCAGATCGCGGGCCTGTCTGGGCGGGCAGTGTGCTCCGAGGACTCCCGCCCTGTGGCTGGCTGGAGAGAGGCAAGCTGTTTGGGTCTTGGGAGTTTCACACCAATGGCTTGGCAACATTGGACGTGAGAGTGGGTGAGTGTGCCTCTTGGAAACTCAGTCCTCAGGGATCACTCTTTTTGTTGTTTAAAAAGGTTTTTTTCTTTAGAAAGGCAGTCCATTGTCTCTAAGGAAAATTTAGAAGAGTAGAAAGACAGTGTAGGAGGACAACACCTGTAGTCCCACCAGTCAAGCACAACGATAAACATTTTGCTGTATTTCCTTCAAATATACATTGTATTCATACTCAGTCCTGGTGAAATCTTTAGAAAAATCTCCTACCCCTAACTCCTGCCAGCAAGGATTCTGCTTTGAATGCTACAAAGAAAACCTCAGTAGCTTAATTTGTTTCTGGGACCCATGGATGTGAACAGGTTTTGCTACCAGCAGGTCAGGGACTCCAGGAGAGCCCACCACACTTGGGCCATTTAGACCACTTGCTAAAGATGCTGTCCCGCTGCCTTCCTGCAGCAAAAGCTGGGCCCTTGGGGTGGGGGCTGGGGGAGCAGGAGAGCCGAGGTGAGGGACGTTCTGGGCATAAAAGTGTCAGCCAGCTCTTCTTGGACTCCAGGGTCTGTCCCTACACCTCCAGCAGAGTCCACAGAGTGAGGAGGAAGGCGAGACTGTCAGCTAAGCTAACCCAGTCCCCGACACTGGCCCCGAGGCAGGGAATGGCCAGACTCTCCTGCCCGCCCCTCACTCTCACCGGCTTTACTGTTAGGCCTTTCACATTTAGAACCAGTAATTCTGGAGTATGATATTTTTCAGGATTCTTTTTTTTCCCATATGGATATCTAATTGCTTCAGCTACATTTATTGCAGAGATCATCTGTTCACTGTATTACTGCGGTGTCACCTCTGTCGTGAATTAAGTGATGTTAATGATTGGATCTATTTCTGGATTCTATCCTCCTATCCATTGGGGTGTTTGTCAATCCTTGTTACCAATTCCACACTATGTTAATTACTATAGCATCACAATAAATCTTGATACCTAATGGTGTGATCCTCCAACCGTGTTCTTCAAGATTATCTTTACTATTTGATTCTTTATGTTTCTCTGTACATTTTAGAATCAATTCATCAATTTCTACTAAAAGAAATATGCAGGGATTTGGATTGAGGCTGAAACAAATCCGTAGATTATTTTGGAACTAACTGATATCTTTATAACATTGAGCCTTCCAATCTATGAACATTCTTTTAATAGCTATAATAATATTTTATACTTTTCAATGTAGAGACCTTGCATATCTTTGATTCAGTTTATTCCTAGGTATTTTGTATTTTTAATTTAAAATGGTAAATGGTATCTGAGGGTTTTTTTCTCCCTAATAACACTTCTGACATCAAATGAGAGGGCTTTTTCCCTTCTGAGGTCATTTCTCCAACTCTCCGACACCAACTGGGTATTCGATAATTCAATTCAATTCTGACACCCACAGGCTCAGTCCCATACACCACCCTGCACTTTAGATGCCAGTCGTAAGTCCTGGGCCACCTGTACTTCTACCACCTGACTGTAAATCAAGGGCTCCCAACAACCCCCTCCTCAGGTTCTATAATTTGCTAGACTGGCTCATGGAACCCAGGAAGGCATTTTACTTACTTTTACCAGTTCATTACAAAAGGTACAACTCAGGCACAGCCAGGTGGAAGAGGTGAATGGGATGAGGTATGTGGGAAGGGGCGCAGAGTTTCCCTGCCCTTGTGGGGCGGGCAGGAAGTTCGCGCACCTGGCACCTCCATATGTTCACCAACCTGGAAGCTCCCTGAATCCTGTCATTTAGGGTTTTTTATGGAGGTCTCTTTACATTGGCATGATTGACTAAATCCTTGGCTATCGACTCTCCAGCCCCTCTCCCCTCCCCAGAGGTGGGGGCAGGGCTGAAAGTGTGAACATTCTTGTCACTCGGGACTCCAAGGGTTTTAGGAGCTATGTGCCAGGAATAGGGCAGAGACCAAGTATCTGATTCCCATTGTACTGCAGAATCTTTTCTAAAACTTCATTTTCTACTTGTTTATCACTGGTGTATAGAAATTTATTTGATTTTTATTTATATTGACCTCGAAGCAGGAACCTTCTAAGTCCACTCATCTAATTCCAATAGTTTTTATGTAGGCCTTTCTGGATTTTCTTTGTGCACAATCATGTCGGCCCAGGTAGTGGTAGTCACAGCACATTTGGGATGAGTCTCAGCAGCATCCTTTTAGGTGTGGATTTCCCACCAGCTAGGTGAGTACCTCTGATTTCTAAATCTATACTCCCCTGTCCTCCAAAGCCAGAGCTCGGTTCATTGCTTCCACCAGCTCCCCACCCTCACCACTGCAGCCTTGGACCGAAGGACTCTGTGCCATCCCTGCTCCTCAGGCCTTGCCTGCTGCCTCTGGGAAGAGCTTATTCTGGAGTCACTGGTAGGGTGGACTCTGGAGGGGGCTCACACTCCCAGCAAAGCCATTCAGACCATTTGCTAAAGATGCTGTCCCCACATGTTCCTGCAGCAAAAGCTGGTCACTCAAGTGGGGCTAAGAGAGCTGAGAGGGGTGTTCTGGGCACAAAAGTATTAGCCAGCTGTTCTTCACCTCCAGGGTCTGTCCCTACAGCTCCAGAAAAGTCTGCAGAGCAAGGAGGAAGGCCATACTGCCAGCTAAGTCAGCCGAGGATGAGGGTCTGTCTGAGAGGCTGTGAGGACAGAACTGTGGAATGAAGACTCTTGGGAGCCAAAGGCGGGGAGGGAGGAGGTCATTTCACCAAACCATGAAACGCATACGTAGCAGAGAGGCAGTGAGGTCCCCAGGTCCCAGAAGTCAGGCACGGCCCCTTGACAGGTGAATCTGAGAACAAAGACTTGCATCTGCCCACATTCCCATGTCTGCAGGACCCTGAGCTTAGAGAGAGGGATGCAATATAGCAAGAGAAACAGTCCCCAATCGCTGGGAATATGCCCACTTCATAACTCCTGAAGCCCTGTGAGGTGTCACTTATGAACCCATTTTATAGCTGAATAGTACTGGGGCAAAAATTGTTTAGTCAGCTTGCTCAGTCTCCCCAAATTAGTAGAGACTCCCTACAACTCACCAGCAAGTCCAAGTGTATTTCATGCCAAGGTCCTTGGTCCTTGGGAGTCCTGATGTGGTTATGCCTATAGGGAGCATTTGGTAAATTCCCAAACCTCAAGGTCCCAAAATGTGGCCGACATTCTAAGGGGTGTGACATGGATTCAGACTGGTTCACACTTGGTGATTTCCCAGTGGGGAAACTGCAACTATCTGAGGCACCAGGTACCTCCCAGATCTGTGACCTACTCCAGACTGGTAAAGTAATCAGGATAATGCTGTTTCCAGAGCAGGAACCAAAGGAGAATACCACAGCCCTGTACTCAGATCTTTAGACACAGGAATAACCCAAACATTCAATTTAAGAAACAAACACATGACCTTTCAGTTGATCTCATTGACCATCCAATTCAACAAATCTAGAGTTGACCTTTCCAGGTGACATAAGAACCTCAATAACCAAACATCTCTAAAAACACTGAGCTATTTGGAGCTGCTTCAGATACAAAAGCATTCAAGTGGGCTCCCCTACTTGTCTTCCATCAGCATGTGGTCCCCACTGGAGCTCCCTGACTGCCAGGCTAAAGTGTCACCTTAGAAGAGTCACTTTACCTCCTGATTTTTGGTCTCCTTCTCTGAAATCTGCACGCCCCAATAGTTACTGTCACTCCTAGTTGTTGGAACTCAGAGCCTTAGGCAAACCCCAAGTGAACAAGGCAAGGGATGGAGGTATGAGTGTAGTGATGTGCTGTCCAGAGCTCTGAGACCTGAGAGAGAGGAGCCGAAGGAGAGGTGGGCTGTCTCACCCCTGGACAGCCTTACCCCTACGACAGCCATCGCCATCCTCACCAGCCCAGCCGTGCCCTTGGCTCGGGGCCCTTATGGACTTACAGCCAAGCCCCCGGTGACCAAAAGGGCCCTTCTGGGGTTCCTGGTCCTGTGATAAATAGCCCCAAACAGGGCAATGTGTTGGCTTCTCCTCAGTGTTGTATATCACATTAACAAGTCTTCTGTCGTTGAACTATCATGGGACAAACCTGAGTTGAATGTGATATAAAAGAAAAATTAAACAAAAAAACTTTCATGCTAGAGTCAATTTTCTTAGTTTGTTTAGGGTTTTCATTTATGTTGGTAAGTGAGACTGATTCAACTTTTCTTGTACTACTCTTTATCTAGTTTAAGAATCAAGGTCATACTGGCTTCATAAACTGAGCTTGCCCACTTTCTTCCCTCTTTCCCCCTTTTCCAGTTCTTTGACAGTGGAATGATATTTGTAATGGGTTTTGCATCTTTTAAAAACACACCCCCAAAGTCTGCCTGCTTAGCAGGAGACTTGGCTCAGACAAGAAGACAGACACCTCTTTTCCTTGTTTGTAGTCTGTGCTGGTTTATTTATGGCACCTTTGTTATTTCTGGACTGCTTTGCTGGGAGCTAGTCATTTCCCTAAGGAAGTAGGGATGAGAGGTGAGGGGGAGCCCCAGGCCTGGGACAGGGGAGCTGTGCTGGGGGGAGGAAGTCCTGAGCCTGAGGCACCAGTGCCCACCACAGCCACCTGTGTTTCAGTGAACCCCCACCAGACTCCCAGGAACCTCTGCTGGGGCTCAGCCTGACCTTCCTCACATAGGCACCATGTTCCGCAAGAAAAAGAAGAAACGCCCTGAGATCTCAGCCCCACAGAATTTCCATCACCGTGTCCACACCTCCTTCGACCCCAAAGAAGGCAAGTTCGTGGGCCTCCCCCCACAATGGCAGAACATCCTGGACACACTGAGGCGCCCCAAGCCAGTGGTGGACCCTTCACGCATCACCCAAGTGCAGCTTCAGCCCATGAAGGTAAGGTGGGCAGTGGGGCAGGGGGCGGAGGGCCCAATTCAGCCTCTCCCACTCCACAGAAGACTGTGCCTGGCAAAACCACAAAGACATCTGGAGGAACCTCCTCATTACCGGCTACCAGTCAGCTGGCTATTTTCCTTCCCAGCTGATCAGCCTCTCCCTGGGTGACCCAGGGAGGAGCCTGGGGGTCCCTCTGCAGGGTGGGAGGGTTGCCAGATTTAGCAAATAAAAATACAGGATGCCTAATAAAATTTGGATTTCAGATAACAACAAATAATCTGTTAGTATTAAGTGTGCCCCATGCAATATTCGGACCTGTGGTGCTGGTATAATTTAGCTGCATGAATCAAGAAGGGTAGAACCCAAGAGCCTGGTAGGAGTTGGGGGTCAGGGACCCTGTCAGGGTTTGGAGGCCACAAAGCCAGTGTGCGTGGAGCAGAGCTCTGGATTGGTCCCCTCTACCTCTGATAGCTCTGCACACCTCCCAGAAGGCATGGCATGCTGGAGGGTAACCCTGTGGTTCCTCACCTGTCTGCCCCTAAATATGGGCTTTACCCCTGTATTCCTGCCCTGGCACAGGCCTGACCTACTGTGGGTACTTCTAAATGGCTGAAAAATTAAGGAATGGGTGGCTGACACAGCAAGCAAGGCCCATAGGTGTTCTTCCCCCAAGGTCCCTGGGAGGCCTTCTGACCTGGTCCCAGACCACCCCTCCCTGCCATGAAGGGGCTGCTCACTCACCCTCCTCTCCTTCCCTGCAGACAGTGGTGCGGGGCAGCTTGGGGCCTGTGGATGGCTACATCTCCGGGCTGCTCAACGACATCCAGAAGTTGTCCGTCATCAGCTCCAACACCCTGCGTGGCCGCAGCCCCACCAGCCGGCGGCGGGCACAGTCCCTGGGCCTGCTGGGGGATGACCAGTGGGCCGCCAACCCGGACATGTACCTGCAGAGCCCCCAGTCTGAGCGCACTGACCCCCATGGCCTCTACCTCAGCTGCAATGGGGGCACACCAGCAGGCCAAAGGCAGATGCCATGGCCCAAGCCACAAAGCCCACAGGTCTTACCCAATGGGCTGGCCGCCAAGGCACAGTCGCTGGGTCCCAGTGAGTTTCAGGGTGCCACACAGCGCTGCCTGCAGCTGGGCACCTGCCTTCAGAGCTCTCCACCTGGCACCTCACCCCCCCCAGCCACGGGGAGGTGTGGCACCAAGGCTGCCAGGCAGGGGTCTGAAGAGGCCCGACCACAGTCCTGCCTGGTGGGTTCAGCCATGGGCAGGCCGGGCGGGGAGAGCAGGCTGAGCCCCAAGACCCAGGAAAGCAGCCTGAAGTGCAGGCTGTTTCGAAGCATGTTCCTGTCTACTTCTGCCCCGGCCCCTCCGAGCAGCAGCAAGCCAGGCCCTCCACCACAGAGCAAGGTAGGTGACGCTGGGGCCACCCTCAGCCGGGCAGGGATCCACTGGGGAATGCATGTCAGGGAGACAGGCCCTGCCCAGCCTCCCCCACTTACAGGCGAGGCTCGGGAGAATGGGAGGGAATGAAATGATAAACCAGCCCAGCCTCAGCTGAGGTTTCTACCCTGACCCACCTGAGCCCTTGTCCTCCAAAGGCTGAGCACGTGTGAGTCAGAGGTTACAAGCCATCTCATTTTCTGGGGGCCCTTAGAGGGGTTTTTGGTACACCCCAGATTACCCTGCTGCCGGCTGTATCTAGGCAGACCACACTGGAAGGTAGGCACACCCCCACCCTGAAAAGCAGCGTCTTTACCCACAAGCCCAGACCCTCCCCAATCCCCAGTGGCCAGCAGCCCCACCCAGACCCCATCAGGGAAGGGTGCTCCAGCACTGGGCACGGGCAGCTTCTCTGCCTCCCTCTTCTCAGAGCTTCTTCTACCTGCACCCTTCGCTTGCCCGGTGCCCTCCTGAGGTCATGCCAGGCTCCTGGACTGCTTCTCCCTAAGGTGTCAAAAATGTGCATGTTCACCCTTCTCTGGTGGGGATTCTTCCCTTTCTCCCTTTTTCCTTCCTTTCCATTTTCAGTTGGTCATTGTTCTGTTTAACAGTTCTGTGATGATTTATTCTTGAGCTTGTGTGCCATTTAAAAAGCTAAAGGACTGAATTTGCCTGGGCCCAGGAGCAGCAGGACTGGGGACTTTTGGCATGTGTGACAGCTCCAAATGCACATTTTTTTGTGTGTGTGTGTGGAAAACAGAAAACAGCAAAGGGAGCCATAATGGTGACATATCTTGGCAGGCAGAAGAGAACGTTTTTGTTTCTTCCATTTCCTATGACATCCTGTCTGTAACATTCTTTCCCATTTGGCAGATGAGAAGACTGACTCAGACAGGGTGTGACTACCCGCAGGTGCCTCAAATGAGTCAGGGAAGGAAGGAGTGAGAGGGTCCTCTGGGCTCGTGCCTCTTGCTCAGGAAGGCTTTTTGATCATAGCATCTCTAAATTCTTGAGGGACAAGCAGAAATGAGCTTAGGCTGCAGCACGAGGGTTGTAAGTCAGACCCAAGAAACAACTTCTGACTTACAGTGGCATGAGTGACAGGGCCACCCCTCCTCAAAGGGCTTTAAGAACAAGCCTGGTCCTCCCTGTGGGCAATAGCATGACTGCAGTCCAGCCTGAATGTGGACAGGGGGCTTGGGGCATGGCCTAGACCCTCAACCTTTCTAAGACACTGCCAGCCCCAGCACCCATAGAAAGTTCTGGGCTTTGTACATTCCAGGCCTTCAACAGGACAAAGAACAGTGGGTTGGAATCCCCCATGGGTCAGAGTCTTGGAGGACAAATAGATGAGATGTGGCTTGAGATGCCCATGTGAGGAATATAAGTGTCTGTGGGATGAGGGGTCTCTGGAAGGCTGTGCCCCTGGGGAGACATTCCCTGGGAAACCAAGGTGGGAGCAGGACAGTGCACACTGCCAGGGAGGTGAGAATGGAACTTGATTGCTACCTGGCCTCTGGGGAGTCCTGTGGCAGGGCTTCAGGGATTTGGAGAAAGGAGGTGTCAACACCAGGCTGGGCACTGACATGCATGTTTCTGAGCAGCTGCTAGCACCCCACAGCAGGGAACAGGCCATCCACCCAGCCTTTATCTCCTGTCCATCTTTTCACACTCTACTGAGTACCAACCTGTAGATACTCAGTAGGCTCTGGACACTCACAGCTGCTCCTGTAGGTCAGGCCACCAAAGGCCACAATGTGTCAGGCATGGCTGCAGGAGGGTCTGTGGCCCAGGGCTCTTGTACTCAGCCCCAGGCAGCTTGGCCTATAGTCACTCACTTTGGCTAAAGAGTGAAAAAGACCTCAAGACCACGTCAGTGCTGGGCTCCTCACTAGCTCCCTGCTGTTTGCTGCTTCTGACCCTGCACTGCACCCATGGTCCCCTGTGCACAGCCAGCCCCTGCAGTGGTGTTCCCACAAGCTCCTTGACAGCAGATGGGGAGCAGATGCCTCTTCTTGGGCCCTCTGCATGGCTTGTGTTCACCCCTCCCAACCATTCCCACTCACCCACAGAGCAGAGAGAGCCCCAGCGGGAGGCCAGAAGGTGAAAGGAATCCTTTTACAGCCTTCCCAAGAAATTCAGAGGGGAGAGAGGCCAGAGGGCATTAGAACAACCTCAGGAGCAGCTTTAGGTACTTTTAGGGTCCCCAAGCGCTGCACAGCTTCCAGAGCACATCTTCTGGGTTAAGTGCACACCTTGCAGGCCAGTGGGCAGCCTTTTCACAGGGCCTCGGGGGCTGCTTCAGTGATCACATGATGCAGTGAGCCCTGCTGGAAGCTATCTCGCAGAGCCTCTGCTCCCAGGACAGGGCCTCACTGCCTCAATGGTGGCCACGCTCCCTCCACGCCCAGTCCCAGCCCTCCTGCAGCCTTCCTGAGGCCAGGGAATCAAAGAGGCCATTTGTCCAGGGCTGCTCAAAGTGTGGTCCACCCCTCCTACATCAAGGCCCAGGGGCCTGTAAAATGCAGAGTCCCTGTTGTAGGGACCTACTCAAGCAGTCTTTGGGGCCTGACAATATGCATTTTACACAGCGCCGCAGATCACTGTGCCTTTACAGAGGAGATTAGGGCTCAGAGAGGGTGACTTACCTAAGATGCACTGCAAGTCAGAGCAAAGCAGGACGGGAACCCAAGTCCTGACACCCCATCCAGAGGTCCCACTGCTTCACTACACAGAGTGGGGAAAAGTGGGTAAGGAAGGATAAGGTGCCAGCGAAGACATGGGGGAATCTCTTTACTGTCCAGACAAGCTCACTAGGCAGAATGAAGTGATCACAGCAGCGCTGGGAGGCTTTCCTGGCTCCTAAACTGCAAGGCCCAAGGCTGAGCCAGGCACAGGCTGCCAGGGGCTCGCACACCCTTGGGGGTGGCAGAGCACCATAGTGAGCATGGATCTCTGCTGGCAGGGGCACCTGTGCACATGCTCAGCCTTAGGCAAGGCCAGGGATTGGGTGTGGGTGGGAGCCCTGAAGCCCAGAGAGAGGGGGCTGAAGAGGTTAAAAAGGCTCTGCTGGGCCTGGGGGTGCCCAAGGCCCAGACTTGGGACCCCTGATCAAGTAGCTCAGCTCAAGCTGAGTGCCCAAGGGGATTTCTTGGAAGCTGATTCAGCTCTGGGGGTCAGGACCAGGAGCTACTGGGTGCCTAGACAGCAGGTAGGCACTAGGTTCTGAGACTGTCCAAGGAGGCCTCTCTGCAGCCCCTGAAGTGCCTCTGTTAGGACAGGTATGGCCCGCTCCAGGTGCCGCTTTTGAAATACATAATCCGTGGGAAGAGTCAGGTTGCACATCACCAGCTCCTTGGGGAGAACCCAAGGGGGAGACCCTTTCCTGCCTGGGCTGGCAGGAGGGCTTGAGCCTGGAAAGGCAAGGATCCTCAAAGGCTTCCGGACTGGGCCTGAATGGGGCTTATGGGGGTCAGTCTGCCACTCTGTTCTACCTTCCCTCCCTGCGGCCTGAGGATCGGCACCGATGCCTCACAGCAGAGACAGGCAGACTCCCTGTCGTCAGGTACAAGCAGGGCCCTCAGTCTCCTGCTGTGGCTTCCCTGCCCTGTTCTGGGCCCCAGTCACAGCCTCCCACCCCCTACCCCATTGCTCAGGGCCTCTTCCACCCATGGGAGCCCTTGGTGTTTGGGGGCTGGGTTTGGGGGAGTGAAGAATGCCTCTGACCCAGATTCCCAGTGCAGCCCCATAGCTCAGAGGGAAGACTGCCTGCTGATGGCATCCCTAGGGGCTGCTGTCAGTATACTCAGGACGAAATACCCAGCAGAGGACACCCCAGGAACTCAGCTTTCTTTGTCTTCCCAGGTCAGCAGAGTGGATGTAAAGAGCTGTTGTTCGGACTGCTCACCAGACACTGGGGGCTGGTTTCCCCGAGTAGGACTACATTTTGACTTTAACTCCATTTGAGAATCTTCACTTGTAGCACCTCCCCAATTTGGTCTGATGCCCTTCCAGGCTCTGTCAGACCCTGCCCATGTCCAGAGGTCATAGCAGCCAACCCCTGCTCCTGGGAAGTTTGCTCCAAAGGCTCCTATAGACAAACTCTTTTCATTTCTTTCTTTCTTCCTACAGCCCATCTCCTCTTACCTACCACCACAGAAAGATGCACCCCCAAGCCTGGTGGTCAAGGCCCAGTCTTTGCCCTCAGACCAGCCCATGGGGACCTTCAACCCTATGTCCACCTCAGATACCAGCAGCCCCCAGAAGTCCCTCCGCAGAGCCCCAGCCACTGGCTTGCCTCCAGGCCGGTCTTCCCCAGCGGGCTCCCCACGCACACGGCACACCCAGATGAGCACCAGCAACCTGTACCTGCCCCAGGACCTCACCGCAGCCAAGGGTGCCCTGGCTGGAGAGGACGCGGGTGTCGTGACACATGAACAGTTCAAGGCAGCACTCAGGATGGTGGTGGACCAGGGTGACCCCCGACTGCTGCTGGACAGCTACGTGAAGATTGGAGAGGGCTCCACAGGCATCGTCTGCCTGGCCCGGGAGAAGCACTCAGGCCGCCAGGTGGCCGTCAAGATGATGGACCTCAGGAAGCAGCAGCGCAGGGAGCTGCTCTTTAATGAGGTGGGGGAGAGAGCAGGGCATGGGTGGGGCATCTGGATAGGCAGTGAGCACAGAGCCAGGCTGGACACTTGTGAGTGGGGGCAGTGGGGACTCTGCCTAGCACTCAGACATCCTCACCTGCCCCCCAGGTGGTGATCATGAGGGACTACCAGCACCTCAACGTGGTGGAGATGTACAAGAGCTACCTGGTGGGCGACGAGCTGTGGGTGCTTATGGAGTTCCTGCAGGGCGGGGCCCTCACAGATATCGTCTCTCAAGTCAGGTGGGCATCTGGGAGGGCTGGGCCCCGAGTGCTAGCTGCCCCCACCACTGGACGGTGATATTGGGCAGCCTTGAACCCAGATGTCTTGGTGTGTCTTTCAGATTGCCCCCAGCTCCCTTCCCCCATGTCTTTTGGATTAAAAGATTCAGGGATCTCAAGGGAGTGGGGAAGATACGGTAGTCTCCAGCATAGGCCCAGGCCCGTTTCTACCAGAGTTCTGGCCTGACTGGACTCCTGCACACATTGCCAGGAGCGGTGGGGCCCAGTACCAGGGGCATCTACTCTGTCCAGCCAATCTGCCCTGCAGCCCTGCCAAAGCTAACACTGTCTCCCACTGCTGGCCCTGCCTCCCCCGTCCAGGCTGAATGAAGAGCAGATCGCCACTGTGTGTGAGGCCGTGCTGCAGGCCCTGGCTTACCTGCATGCCCAGGGTGTTATCCACCGGGACATCAAGAGTGACTCCATCCTACTGACCCTCGATGGCAGGGTAGGGCCCTTCCCATCCTGGCATACCCATACCTCCCACTTCCCTGCTTCCAGTACGGTTCCTCCCCCTGATTCACCTCACACGTCCTTCTCCCTTTCACCCCAACCCAGGTGAAACTCTCCGACTTTGGATTCTGTGCTCAGATCAGCAAAGACGTCCCTAAAAGGAAGTCCCTGGTTGGAACCCCCTACTGGATGGCTCCTGAAGTGATCTCCAGGTCCCTGTATGCGACTGAGGTAACTGTTCCTTCCATCCCCCAGTCGCCCAAAGAGGCTTGGGAACTCAAGGCTCGTCCACTTGTGGCCTCTCTGGATGCCCAGTGCCACCAAGAAAGCCCTGGTTCTAAAGTTTCCACTTAGTCAATACCCTACCTGCTGCCCCTCTTGGGTGAGTCTGCTCTTGACTGTGACTTTGCTGCCACAAACTGATCCTGAAAATGCTCACCCCCATCTCAGTGGCAGGGTGGGGTATGGCCAGGCTTACCCATGTGCGATGGCCTTCCTCAGAGATGGCTGACTGCTATGTCCCTGCAGTCAGTGGTCACTCACACAGGAAGTACTTGACCACAGCACAGGTGGCCAGGAAGCAGGCTGACTCACCAAGGGGAGCTGGGCCCAGCAGCTCCCACCTACTGCAGTGCATTGCTACCAAGGGGCCAGACGCTGGCCGGTGGAGTCAGGGACATTCTCCTCCTGCAGGTAGATATCTGGTCTCTGGGTATCATGGTGATTGAGATGGTGGATGGGGAGCCACCCTACTTCAGCGACTCCCCAGTGCAAGCCATGAAGAGGCTCCGGGACAGCCCCCCACCCAAGCTGAAAAACTCTCACAAGGTCAGTTGGTGCACAAGGTGGGGCCCCGCAGACACCATTCTTCCTGAGGCTTAGAGGTCAGAAGCCTGGTCTTCCAGGCTGAGCCTCTCCCTTCCACAGCAGCCAGAGGGTCTGGGCTCCCAGAAAAGGCTCTTCTTTCTCCTCCACACAGACCTGCCCTGAGGTGTGAAGCCACAGCCACATCCAAACTTCATGGTGCCTCTAACAAATTTCCTGCAGCAGTTGCTAGTAGCCCAAGAGAAGGGAAATTAAGGCTGCTAAGAATCCCTGATGTCCGGGGGAGGACTCTGGAGAAGCTAATTGAGCAGGAACCCCTTCACCCCATCTGTTAGGGAAGCCGTACCATGGTACAGTGTTCCCAGTCTGTCACAGCAAATTGACTTGTCCTTTGTCAGTGCACATCCTGACCACATCTGAGCCGCAGTTTTTGCCTTAAAACCTGTTTATGCGAGTGTGTGTTTAACCCTTTTCTGCAAAACTACCCAAACTCACAAGCCTTACCTGTAGACACCCCCTGCTGGTGGCCAGGTCATCACGGAGCTGCAAAATGGCACTGACCTCTGGTGGCCAGAATGAGAAACGTCCCAGAGGGTTGAAGCCCAGTCCCTAAATGGAAAGCGTTCTGTGGCCCCCAACATGGCTGGATGGGAGGACAGACAGGAAATGCCTTCCAAGACAGCCAGTCCTTGAAGCCTGTACTCCTGGCCCCCAGATTAGCAGATAGGGGATACTTCCAAATGGCTAATTCCCCAAGGGATGTAGCCTTTGATAACAGACCAAGACTCAGCCTCATCCCAACATACTGGCTCAAAAGAAACCCTCAACTTAGCCTCTAAAGCTTAGAGCAATAAAGAAATCTTCCTTTTCAGACCTCACTTTGTTCTTTTCTACTTTTCAAAACACTTCTTCATCACTGACCTCTTTTTATCTTCACTAAAGACCTATGTGGCCAACAGGGCAAACACATCTTCATAGCCCAGTCTGCAGATGAGAAAACTGATGTCTAGAGAAAACTGCAACTTGCCCAGATCAAGGATAGACCCAGACAGAATCACTGATACCAATCCCATGCCCCTTCCACAGAACCACAGAACCTGAATGCTGAGGGACCTGAAAAGCCAAGTGGGGAATTGGGCTGTATTTGGAGCCCGGTTCCTCAGTGCTCCAGGCATCCATACTCCGTTACTCAGCAGCACCCCCGCAAGGTAGACTGGCTCCTGGACTGGACTGATTCCCTTTACCTGGTACCTGATAATCCAAAAAGTGCTGAACCAGGAAGTGAAAAAGGAGAGAATTCAAGACTTTCAAATGGTGATGGGGTCAGGCAGATAGGTCATCCCAAAGTGACTGCAAACTGCGTTCCTTGCAGCACCATCCTGTCTCCACAGGTCTCTCCAGTGCTGCGAGACTTCCTGGAACGGATGCTGGTGCGGGACCCCCAGGAGAGAGCCACGGCCCAGGAGCTCCTGGACCACCCCTTCCTGCTGCAGACGGGGCTGCCTGAGTGCTTGGTGCCCCTGATCCAGCTCTACCGCAAGCAGACCTCTGCCTGCTGAGCCCTCCCCCAGAGCACACCTGCCACCTGTGCCCACAGGCAGGGGACACTGGGCAGCTCGTCTGCCAGCAGGGCCTGCCTGCCTCATCCTATCAGTATTCTCTCCAAAGATTGAATGTGAAGTCGTACCCCTGCCCTCCTGCCCCTCAGCCCACTGGGCCAGGCCGGACCTGCCCCTCCATCTCTCTCCCTCCCAAGGGAGTCCCCAGTTGCCTTTGGGATGATGGAGACCACTTCTACAGGATGATCCTTTGTTATTTGCACAGGGATATTTCTAAGAAACATGGAGATCAGCACTCCTGGCCACTGTGGCCAACACAGCAGAAAAAGCTGCAGTGGTTTTTTAAAGATGGTTGTACACTAGCATCCCAGGCCACCCAAGAGGGCTGACTGCCAGTCTTCACCAGGATACTTGCTGTTCCCAGCTCCAACTCCAAGCCCTGGGGCCTTGAGAGGGCCCCAGGGAAGGTTTTTACTGCCTGAATCCATCTTCCTCCCTGTGTCTGACTTCGTGAAGGCACCTTCCCACCTGTGCTGACAGCACTCTCCCTGCACTGCCTGATCCCAACTATGAATAGCCTGCTTGCAGGACAGGGGAGGAGGGAATGTCCTGGGTGAAAGAGGAAGAATGGAATTGGTGGTACAGGTGGTCTCACTGTATAGGACGGAGAGAACATGTGTGTGTGTGTGTGTGTGTGTGTGTGTGTGTGTGCGCGCGCGCGTGTGGGTGTGGGTGTGTAGGAAGGCCACCCTTACAGCCTGGACTTCAGGCCCCCCACAGACAGCTAATTTAGTAAGGCTCCCTCATCCCCTCTCCCACTAAGTTCTGTTCTGAAGGGACCTGCTTTCTTTGCCTGGCTTCCCACCTCATAAGTCTTGTGTTTCTACCTGACCAGTGAAGGGGTCTATATTGAGTCTAACCCATCCTGGGGTTTTCTGAGTTTCTCCTGTATTGTGGAGTCTGCGAGCCAGAGATCAGAACAGTGAGGAAACAAGTTTTGTTCTACATGTGAGCTTCATCTCAAGAACCAGGTCATCAGGGACTCATTCTTTTCAACATCCTGGTGTAAGGGAGGTGAACCAGCTCCTGGGGTTCCGTTGTGTCAGGAAAATGGGCACCCATCTGTGCAAACCATCTGCCCCTAGCTGTCTCTTCAGACACCTGTCTCCTTGTCCTCCTTCCCTCCCTACCTTCAGGGCTGTTGTGAGACAGGGAATTGCAGGGTAGAATTCCAGGTGTCTGGACCCTATCTAGATAATATTTTTAAATTCATCTGCTCCCTAGCAACCTGCTTTGGGGCAAAAGAAAAAAAACTGCAAGGACTTTTTTTAAGGGTCTGAGTTTTAAAAACAAAAGCATCTTCCCTAGAAACTTTTGTGAATTGTTTGCACTTGTGCCTGTTTTAAATTAAACTGAGTGTTCAAAACCTCTGGGCTTCCTGTTGTCTCTGGGAGTGGAACCAGGCTGTCTTCAGGCTGGAAACCCTGTAGTGGGTGTCTGGTGTGGCCCTCCCTCCTCCCCCACATTGAGCTCTGCAGCGGTCACTCTGGTCCACAGAAAACTAACTCCCTGGGGGCATGTGGGTTCAAAATGAGGGCAGAGAAGGAGGAAAACAGGAAGTGAAAGGCCCTTGGGACTGAAAGCACTGAGAGATGGATGGGGCTCCTTCTCAGGGAGAAGAGCCCAGCCAGGAAAGCCAGGGCCATGTGCCACAGGAGGCCTGGGGGCAGCCACTGGGGCTGATGACCACTTTGCATCAGCTTCTCCCTCTTCCCTTTTGCTCCTCACTCCCTGGAAAGTGAGAGGCTGCTCTCTTCAGGCAGTTCATAGGAAGTAGCCTGAAACTGCTTCTAAGAAAGTCTCTGTTCTGGTTCTGAGACTGAGGGAGACAGGATTTGTGCAAGAGCAGTGCAGTGAATGCTGGGAATCAAGACATCTGGATTCTAGTCCCGTGAATGGGAGAGGTGGATGAAATTATCTTTCAACTTCCAGCTCTGACACTGATTCCACAACTTCCTCCTGAGATCTCATCCTACCCACTACACCAGGCTTCACTAAAACCTCTTAACCAGGAGCAAGGGTCATACACAACTTCTGCTCCCCACAGAGTGCCCACCTAGACAGCTGTCCTGGCCCCAGGGTCCCACCAGCTCAGGTGGAAGCAGCACCTGAGTCTCTCCTTCAGGAGGCAGCCACAGTGGAGCTGGCAGGGATGATGGCTGACTGAAGACAAAACCTTTGTGGGAAGCAAGGGCACCCTTCCACCTCTCCAAAGGGAGCCCAGAGTCAAGAGTGGCAAAGAGAAGCCAATTCTCACAACTGAATAATACTGGATTTATTAACTATTCTTTTGAGTTCTAATAGTCCTTCCACCACACAGTGTCATTCCAAAAGCACAACATTCAGCCTCCCACAGAGACCAGTTCTGAGCATGATCTTGGGGCACCAAGCTCCAGTGGCTTGGGTGACTCTCCACGGTGATGAAAGCAACAAGAGTTGGAAAAGCAAAATGTTTAGAAAAGTCTCTTCTGAAGTGGAGTGAGCTAGAGAGGACCACAGCCTCAACATCCCAGGGCTGACAATGAGAGGAGGTGCAGGAGAGTGAAATGAGGTGAACCATGTAAGTTCTGCAGAGCTGGGTCTGGTAAGAAATCTGCAAGAAGCGCAAGTCAATCACAAACACAATTCAGTTCAGACAGAAAAGATCTGCTGTCAATTTTTCAGAAACTTCCAACCACCAAGCCCTTGAAATTTCCTCGGAGAGAAGCCCTCATGGTTGTTTACCCAAGAAGGAGGGCCCAAGGTGACATTCAGTCAGAAAGCCACATCAGTGACACTTGAAAGATGACAGCACCTTCCACACAATGAGCAACCCAGACCTCCTGGCATTTTGAAGAAGCCAAAATACTTGTATTCTTACACCATTAAAAACTTCATGAAAATTAAACACAGTTGGAATGGGAATAGTGAGCAAGCAAGGATCGGAAAAGAGTTTATACTTGGGGTGTCCAATTATCCTCTCCTAGGTCCTCTCCCTCTGGCTTTTCGGGTTCTTCAGTATTGTTCACCCACCACCCAGACAGTGGGACTGAGTAGAGGCAGATGTTTGGGAAGAAAGGAGTGGAGGAAAGGCAAAACACTCTAGAAACAAAAGCAAATCTCATCAGAAGGAAATGCATGATCAGCAGGTCCTAAAGTTCAGAAATCATACGGGAGAAGTTGGAAGTTCCAGTTTTTTCAGGAGCTCTCAGGACACAGGAGCCATAACTTGGAAGATCCTGGGGTCCTTAGTGAAGGGTCTGGGCTCCTGCTACTCCAAACGCAAGTATTTTGTTCATTATCCCTCATTTCTCTGCTGTGGAACGACTTCAAGTATCCGGATTTAATGTACTACAAGAGGATGAGGATTCCAGGGGTAAATGCACACGGAGTGAGAAGTACACAGCGGAGATTCCCAAATAAAACCTGGAGCCTGAACTCCGAGCCAGGGCGCAACGAGGAGAGGGTAATGCTGCCACCAGGGGGCACTAGAGATCACGTGCAGCGGAGGGGCTCGCGCGGCCTCTCTGACCCTATAAGACTGGAAGGATTTGGGAGGTGTCTGACACCTACTCCAGGCCCTCTCCTCAACGCCTACCCCACACCCCAGGGCCAGCGTCTTCTCAGGGGTGATTCTCGCAGAGGAACTTCGCAGTTCCCTTAGAGTTACTGCTGAGAAAACTTTCGTTCTGCAAAGGCTGACTGATCAACGACGTCTTGAAAAGACCCCATCACGACTAGGTGAGTGGCTGCACGTTCAAACCTTCGGGGGCTCCCAAAAGGCCCCCACGCGCCGCCAACCCGCGGGCTAAGCGCCCAAATACCTGCGCTAGCGTTTCCGCACGGTCCTAGAACGCGAGATTCGCCAGATCCCCTAGACCTTCCTCACTAAGCTATCAGGAAGAGGGCGGGGGCGGGAAAGGAGGGGACAAAGGACCAGGCCGGAAAAGGGCCTTTAACCACCTCTCCGCGGTTGCCTCTGACTAATCTGCTCTGTAATGAAGCTGGTCCGGGGCTGCTTCCCACGCGCTGTGGCAGAGGCAGGGGTCCTTGGTCTCGACCTCTAGCATCCATCATCCTCTCTGCCCTCCATTAACGGCCCAGCAAGAAGCAGGAGCCGTTTAACAGCCCCCTTCCAGCTCTCACTGAAGTTTGATGTAATTTAAACCCGGACCTGCGGCTCGTGTGGGCTTCCCAACTCCCGCGCGCCGCCGTTTAACGTGGCAAACACTTGAGTCAATTATCCCCCTCGCAGAGCTTCTATTTAAAGAGACATTGTCAGGTTCTTAAGCCTCGGATCAGACCCGCTGTTTTCTGCTTCTTATACAAAGACTCAAAACACGAGTTCTTTGATGATTGGGAGAAATACAATTAAGCAAAGCCTTTGCAACCGTTCCACCCTGTTGTAGCACCCACGTGCAGGATGGGGGAGCTGGGAGGCGGTGAGGGCGGGGGAAGTGCTAAATCCTTTCCATTTCAAGCCTCAGAGTGAGAGGAAAAAAGGCTGGGCCACAAGGGCTGAGACCTCAAAGATGGAACTCAAATGCCTGCCCCGAGGTGAGAACAGGCTGGCTCAGGAGCCTGGAGCTGGGCTGGTTAGGGGTTGGTGTGGGGCAATGACCCCACATTGTCAGTGAAGTTGGATCTTGGGTCTGCAAATGCTGTGAAGGCAGAGGCAGCTGGAATTACCCAGAAGCTGTTTCAAGGGACGACTGGCATTCAACACCAGGGGCTCTCCCACTCGCAAAATATGCTTTCATTGCCTGGAGGAAGGACTTTCTCAAAAAAAAAACTTTACCCCCAGTTTCTTTCCTGATTAGCGCCCCCAGACCAGAATGGCTCCGAGGTCGTAGTTGGTGCAACGGGTGTCCACACTTAAAGGGGAGGAAGAATTGGGTGGGGTGCAGCATTACTGTCTGCATCACTAGGTAAAGGAGGCAGGCTAGGCCTTTGTTCCATGAGTCGACTCTTCTTCCTGCATGGCTGCCAGGGTTTAGGAAAACCGGTAAAGGGGAGGTGACCAGCCAGAAGCCAGCAGTATTCAGAACTGAGTCATAGGGCTGAGGAAAAGGGGTCTCTCTTCTTGGCTGGAAGCTGTAGCCTATGGAACCCATCTTCTACTCCTCACCTTCCAGGACAGCAAAGGGAGACCTTAGGGAAACTGATAGTCCTAGGCAGGGAACACCAACAAGCACAAAAAAAGAAGATAGGGGTCTGTTTCAGAGAAAGGGCTGGTAGAAGTCTTGCCTTTGCAGTGGGGACAGGTTCTGGGATCACAGGCGGGAAAATGCCAGGAAAGTGAGGGACCTGCAAGAAAGTGAAAATCCCAGTGGTCCAGGGAAGGGGGAGTGGAGGGAAGCAGGTGTCAGCTTCCGCGCTGTTTACTGTTGAGCATGCAGCACCACAGCCTCCGTGCCGGCCTCCCAAGGCTGAGATACTGGCACCGAGTGGGCAAGGGCGTTGGCCTCTAACTCTGGCCCACTCTCAGGCCCTGATACCTCCCCAACCAGGCTGGGGATGTCTGGAGCTGTGGAACGTCGGCGCAAACCCAAGCGGCCAGAGCCGGGGTCGACCTCTGGGTGGGGACTAAGCCCAATAGGGGGTTGCACTAAGGTTGGGGGCGCTCCCTCCAGCACCTCCTGGGAACGCCACCGCCCAGTCCCCGAAGACTGGGGCGAGTGTGGTCGGGCCATCAGGGCTCCCGCCCGCAGTCGAGCAGCCTCCTCCTCGGTCACAGCACCCAGCGCCAGGCTCATGCTCCGGCCCAGCTCAGGCCGCTCGCTGCCCTGAGCCCGGTGCCGGCCCGAGCTTTTGCCCCCTGGGCCAGCTTCGCCTCCGTGCCCATGACCGCCAGCCGCTCTCGCAAAGCGCGCTAGGAGAGGCCGCGGTAGGCGGCGGGGGCTGGGTCGTCGGCGCTCAGGGCTGGGCGCGGGAGCCGGACGACCGGGGGGACTGTCGGAGTTGGAACCCCGAGCCGCCGCCGCGGCGGCTGCGCGGCCCCAAGGCCCAGTGAGGGCCTGCACGCAGGTCCCGTGGCCGCGAGCGGCGGCCAGCTGCAGCGCTGTGAGCCCCGCACGGTTGGTGCGGTCGAGGCGCAGGCCGAGTCGGCGAAAAGAGCGCACCAAGAACTCGAGCACAGCCCCATGGCCGCATGCCGCCGCCCACATCACAGGGCTGTTGCCCGCGGAGTCCGCCGCTTCAGGGTCCCCGCTAAACTGCACCAGCAGCTGCACGGCGTCCAGGTGGCCGCGCTCGCACGCCAGGCTGAGGGCGGTGCGGCCGCGCTCGTCCCGCAGGTTCACCGCCGCACCCTGTTCCAATAGTAGCCGCACGAAGCGTGCGCGCAGCGCAGGGTCCGGCAGCCCCACAGCCACCATGAGCGGCGTGCGTCCCTGCTCCGCGCGGCAGTCGATGATGCTGCGGTCCAGCGCGTCCAGCACAAAGCGGGCCAGGTGCACTTTGCCCGCCTGCATGGCCTCCAGGAAAGTGCGCGTACCCGCTCGGGGGCACAGGTCCTTGGGCTTGAGCATGGCCCTGGCCGCCGCGCCCAGGCGGCCCGGCAGCTCCGCACGGGGGCGCCCCTGTTCCCGCGCCCGGCCGGGTTCTTGTCCCCTCCGGTGCTCTGGTACGGCTCCCTCAGCGCGTGGGTGGCTGCGACCGAGGGTCTTGAGGTTCCCACACTTATCGCCCCGCAGCTCCCGCGGCTCCTGGGTCGCACGCCTGGCGTCTCGCTGCTCCTTCCCTGGGCTTCCCGCCTGGAGGTGTAGGTTACTCGCTGCTCTGGGCTCAGCGCCTGGCCCCCAAGAAGACTACGGGAGCCGAAGCTGGGCCCCCTCCTGACTCTCCCGCTGCTTTCCCCGCGTCCGGCCCCCCTCAGTCCCTCGTGGCTTGGAGCAGCGCCACTCACCCGCACCCCGGGCAGCCCCCGCTCCCCTGCTGAGAAGGTGGCGCCCGTCGTGCACGCCTGCCTCCAGCCCTGGCGGGCGCGCCGCTCCTCAAGCTGCTGGCGCCGTTCCTCCGCCTCCGCCCCTCTCGCGGGGGCCGGGCCACGCCGGGGCGCTTGCTCCTTACTTGGGGGGCTCAGCGGCGCGGGAGCCACCGCCCTCCTAGATACCTGGCTTTATAGCCTCGGGGGTCACCATGGCTATGGCTGCCCTGGAAGCAGGCTGAGCCGTCAAGGCAGAAACCGACGGGGCGGAGAAGACTGTCCCTGACCCCACCCCTTCCACCGGCCGCGAAGTTGGGGAGCGGCTTCTCCGCACTCTCCAGGCGCTGCCACGGCGGTTGCCAGGGCGGGGGCTGCTCGCTGGGAGCCCGGTCGGTGCACCCGACCAGGCCAATCCCACAGTCAGTCTTCTCCCCGCCTTCCGCCCCCACGGAGTCGTGACCTTCGGCTCCTTAGAAACTGGCGGGACCTCGCGTCCGTCAGAGAAGACCGAGGTCAGCCCCTCGCGGTCCTGGTAGTAGGAAATGGGACCCCATAAGGGGAGAGCTGGACCACAAGCGAGCTGGGGTGGGGGCAAAAGGCTGAGGGGGAGTAAAGGGGGCGAGGGTTCCTGTGCTGCATTGCGGGTGGGGGACGCTCAGTCTGGCTGGGAACTGCCGCGCAGAGTGTAGCGAATCATGCACTCATACACGTTTGTTCCTTCCGCACACGCTCACTTGGAGCGGGGGTTGCGGAGGGAGAGCGTGCCCTCCAGTCTCAGACGTCTCCAACCCTTGACAACGCGCCCGCCTACCAGATACTGGCGGCCAAGAGTCAGGCGGAGCGGAGACGCGCGGCCACAGCTGGCGCCTTAGGATCCGGGAGTGCTGCAGCCGAGTTAACAGCTCCCCCTGCATCAGGGCCGGCCGCCACCCCGGACACACACACACACAGATCTGCAACGACCCCGGCCTCCCTTTTGAGCACAAACAACGCCCAGACCACAGGGCAGGGCTCTCTGACTTGACCACTAGCTGACACCTTCTGAGAGGAAGGAGAAGAGAGCTCCAGTTCATAGGGTGTGGGAAAACTGCTGCATCCCCTCTCCCTCTGGCGGGCTGCTCAGCCCTGGGGTGTGGGGGTGGGGTGTGCAGGCCTCAGCTAAGGGAAGTCAAGGTGCCTCAGAGACACAGGGGGGTGGAGGGTGTGTACGGTTGGAACTGATATTTGTAAAGACATGAGTCAGGTATCAACTACAGAATTTACTGAGGATTTTCATGAGCCAGGTATTTGTTCCCAGCGGTGGGAAATGCAGAAGCAGAACTTGGGTTCTAGATGGAACAGACCTCCCGCCCAAGCAGAAAGACAAGATCAGGACTTAAAAAGTAGAGCTTCTTATCTGAGGGCTAAATACATCTGTTAAATACAAAACAGGTAGCGCTTAGAGGAAAAGATGGAGTTGTGGGGAAGGAGAACTCTGGGGTCTTCTGAGGATAGGACTCTGGGGTGGTTTTCAAGGATGTGTGGGACCTGGCTGCTCAAGAAATAAGAAGACATTCCAAACTGGGTTACTGAGGCAAGGGCAGAGAAGCGGGCAAACACTTCAGGAAATAAAGAAAAAAGATGTCCTCTGTCTAGGCAGAGCAGGATTAAGATGCTTTACAGCAGGAGGTTGGGGATGAGGGGACCTGCATCTGGAAAGAAGACAGTAGGCCTAGATGCATGAATAGCAAAGCGAGTACACTGTTTACACCCTGAGGTTTTTCTCTCTCTTCAGCTAGGTTTCAGGGATGCCTTCCTGGCATCCAAGACCCAGACATGGAGCAAGGGCCCCCACTCCCCTCTGTCCTGAGGGGGGAAGCATTTGATATATACCTGCACATACCCTACTCAAGGCTCTGCCAATTTTCTCTGCGTTGTTACAGAAAGGGCACAGTATTTAACATCAGTTAAATTCCCGCTTGAAGGCATTTACTAGAAAACTGTGGCTCCAGCCATGCCTATTGTCGTCTGCAAAATGAAGGTGACAGTACTAGCCCTGCCTGGTTCATGCAAGATCAAGCTAGAGGACATCAGGGCAAGGGCTGCACAGGTACTCAGAATGCAGAAAGACCAGTCCCTATCCCCCAGACCCAGGGACTTCTTCTGGGGTGTCACCCAGGGGTGGGTACAGACTCTGCAATCCCAATAAGAGTGCAGAAACGCTCTCCCTCTTTACTCAGATAGCAGAAGAAAGGCTTCCCTTCATGACTCAATTTCCCTTTTCTGCAGCATGAAGAAAACTGATTTTTTCCCCCCTTCTTTTTCTGTTTCCAGACCAAGGGATCTGGAATCTGTATCTGGCAGGCCAGTCTGACAAGCTGGGCAGTGACATACCCCAGGTAATAGAACACGGAATGGGTACCTCCTTGGTCCTAAACAGCCATGCTCCCCCACCACACTTGAGCCTCCTTGAGACAACCCTGTTTCATTTATGCATGAATGTTTCATTTATGCATCTGTTCCCTGTGGTAGATATGGAGACAGTTCCAGGGAAGAAGAGGCACTTGAGGCTGGGCCCCATCAGGGCCTCACCCTGGCCTGGCAGAGCATGCCATGTTGGGTACTCTGGAAGGATTCACCCCAGCTGGCACTGCCAACCCCACCAGGCCTGTGGTGGGATGGAGGGATGGTGCCCAGTCTCAGGCCCTGGAACCTTTGCTCTGACTTCCCTGTAGGCTCAGTATGTTCTGAACAGAAAAGAAATAGCAAAGCTGAAAAAAGCTGAGACTTTGCTGCAGAGCACAGAGGCACCAACAGCCGGAATTAGAAGCTGTCTCTTAGGGAGCTGAAGGCTGACAGGAGATGGAGCTGAGGCAGGCAGGGGGCATACAGGCACTCCACGCTCCCTTCCCCTCCCCTCCCACCTGCTGAGCCTCCCCTTCTGCAGGCCCAGGCTGGCAAAAGGGCTTCCTCCCAGGGGCGGCTCAGGACTGCAGTCTGCCACTCTGTCTGCAGCTGCCCCCCTTCCCAGGCCCCCTTCTTTCCTCCTCTAGTGTCACCAGCCCCCTCACCCTGTCACGTTGCACCAGCTCAGCAGGGTTGGGCCTAGTGGCACGTGGCTGGGAGATCCAGAGAGCTTCTGGGGGGAGGGGAGGTGCAGGGGATAGGGTGAGTCAGCAGGGGACTGGCATCTGAATCAGCAATGGGATTGGGAAGGGGTAGGACCCTTCTCTTTAGGCAAAAGGTGAAGCTGATGCATGATGCCCCAGCCCCACAGATACACAGCAGGAATGGAACCCAGGTGCCCTTCACCTGCCCGGGGCCCTGAGGGAAGACATCATCTCTTCCTCTGCACATACTCTACATCCAGAGCTTAAATCATCTCTGGGGCCCAGAGACTATGACACTTTACCAGGGGGCACCTTGCCCTTTTTCCAGAGGACAGAAAGCAGGGAGGCAGGTATCTGGCCCTGGCCTCAGGGGTAGCCCCCAGTCTGCTGTGCAGAGGCTACTCCAGGAGGCAGAACTGCATCCCCTTCCTCATTCCTGGGCTTCCCAGCTCCACACTGGGACCATGGAGACTGCCCTGCCTGGCTGAGAGGTGAGAAGGCAGCCTGTCCTTCTCCTGAGCAGCCATTGGCAAAAGCTGAGGGCTGCCCAGTGGGCTCTACTTGGTCCCACCTTATGCCCATGTGCCTGAGTCAGTGAGTTCCTCTAGGCCTGGGTCCTCCTCTCTGCATGGTTCTACCCTGGGGTTGAGGGGAAGATGGAGCAGCTGAGTGCCCAGCAGGAGGGTTGAAGACAGGGCACTGCCCTGGGGTGTAGGTGTCCCACCCTTGGCTATACCTAGTGTGTATGGAGGCTGATCAATCACAGACCATGCTCCTGTGAATGAGCAGGCCCCCTAGTCTCAACCTGCAACCAGAGAATGCTAGACTCCCAGAGGTCAGGCTCCCATAGGGATGTATATGAGGCAAGATGGTGGTGGGGGGGGGCTGTTTATTTTCTGAAGGCACAGGTGCTCACAGCTAATGGTATTTGCTACAACTCTGATAAGAAAACAACCTCTTCCCGGAATCAACCCCCACCCTCCCTCTCCCAAGCCAGTGTATGTCCCCATTTGGGATTTGGAACTCTGCCTGCAGTGAATGGCTGTCCACAAGCCCCTCTCTAGCAAGTGTTGGGGTCAACCACAACTGCTTAGGGGCTCAAGAATCTCACCACTCTAAGTCTAACTAAAAGGTCCCAGGTGCCCTGAAGGTTTATGACTCCTCAAGAGCATAGGGGCACCTTGCACTAGGCTCTTCTGCTCCAGCTCTGAGGGTAGAGACAAGGAAGGGCCACATCTGGGTGGGGGTTGAGAAGAGAAATGACATCATTTTCCAGTGGCTGTGGCATCAGGGCCAGCAAAAGGGGAAGTGGATCCTCTACAAGCCCAGAGGCAAGGCATTTTCCTGGGCCCTGGAAGGGACCTCACCATAGGGCTCAACTCCCAATGGTCTTTTTTCCCGTAGCCTCCTTCATTTCAGGAACATTCTACTCCAGCCCCCACTATCCCCATCCACATTTCTTAGCTGTAATACAGAAGCCAGGTTAGGCAGGAAATATTGAGACAGGCTTCTTTAGTAGAAGTAAAAAGGAGAAAAATAAATAAATCTCATAGAGTCAGGAGAGAAAATGATGCTAACCTTGTCAGGCAGCCTGAGTTGGGGTACATTCTAGGAAGCCTCTCCAGGCCTAGGAAAAGGGGTGAGCCAGGATCTGGATGGGAGAGTGCCCAGAAGGCCGACCTTCCCTCACCACCAGCCACAGCCCCAGTTGTCTCAGCAGCCTGAGAGCCAGACAGATGAGGCAGCTTTTCCATGTCAGCCTCCCATCCTTCAACAGGCAGGAGGCCAGGGAGGGACCTCAGCATGGAATCCTGGGAATAGCTATGCCCAGGGAGCTTAGGCATAGTGCCACACTCTGTATAAGATAGCCGACAATGAGACCAAATCAGGGCAGATGGCAGGCCTGAGATGGGGCCTAGAAGTATGGTGAGCTGCCCACCTTATGGCAGTAAGGATCGGAGTTTGGTCATTCTTGAACTACAGATACTAGAGTGGGGGTTCCAGGAGTCCAGGCCTAATCCTCCAGGTGATAAAGCTAAACCCACAGTGGGGCACCACTAGTTTTACACTAGGAAACGTAGAATGGGTCCAAGACCCCAGTTCCTGCCTCCCAGTCAGTATTCTTTTGCAAACGTGAAGAGGTGAAGGAGAAGGATGAGGAGCCACATGTCATATTAAAGGACCACTAGGCCCAGATGGCTTGTGTCTGGTGGTACATGGTCCCTGACTCCTCCTCTGGCCTGGCTGTTGAGGAATTCTAAGGGAGCCCCACCTTCCCACAGCCTCAGAGCACTGGGGCCTTTCCTCTTGGGGATAATGGAGTCACATCCCAAAGAAGGATGAACATCCTTGCAGAATATCCTGGTGGAAACGGAGGCATCAGAGGCGGCTCTCCTGGGCATCTGTGTTTGCTGTGAGTGGGTCCTGCTCACACAGCTCCCTGGAGGCCCCAGAGGGCCTCTCAGGCTTGTCCTTGGCCTCGGAGGGGAAGCAGGCCCTCACAGACTCCTTCACCTCACCTTCTAGGACCTTCATCCTGGCTTCATACTCTGTCAGTGCCTCCTGCTGGAACTGTAAGGACAGCAAAGACCACCACCTGGCTCAGGAAGGGCCTCCTGCCTACACTCCCTCCCCTGGAGAGCAGAGCAAGATGACCTGGGACTCAGTCTGTTCGGAGTGCTCAGGAGACTGGGGCGGAGGTGTGGGGCATTGGAGCCCATCAGGGAGCCTCTCAGGTGAGTGGGCACTAACCAAACAAAGAGATCTGCAAAGCTGCCTCATGACAGGGCCTGAGGACCCCATAGGAACCGGAGCCTGGGGTCCCATGGTGAGAGGGGAGCCTCCCTCCCCCACCTCCTGACTAGCAGCTCTCTGGAGCAGGGCCCTTTGCTCCCTGGAGCCAGGCCAGCTCTGCTGCTGGCCAGGACAGTGGTCCTTATCACCTGCTTTTCCATCTCCCGGATCTGTTCCAGGCAGGCTGCTTGCTTCTCCTCTAGCCTCTCCTGGTGCTTCTCCAGGTTCCCTGTCATCTGGGTGGGAGTGAGAGGCAGGGACTCAGGACAGCACAGTCACCCTGGTTTGGGATCCAGCTACAATCCCAGCTAACCAGCTGTAAGACTTTGGACAAATTCTTTGAACTTTTAAAAGTTTTTTTTTTAATCTGTAAAATGGAGATAATACTGTCTGTCTCATTGATTGTAAAGATTTATTTGAGACAGTTTATGTGAAAGCACCTGGCTTAGTGCCTGGCATGAGGTTAGGAATCAATAAATGGCAGTTCTGTCACTCTTGTTAATGATCCCATGGGAGCTTTAGGTCCATTCTCAGCAGGGCTTCCCTTCCTCTTCCAACTCCGTAGAGCCTTAAAGAAGCCTCCCTCACTCCCTCTCACCCACCTACCCCAATCCTTCTCCCCAGGCCAGGCCAGCTAGCCTATATCATTTTCATCCAGGGCAGCTGGCCAGAGACTAGTACCCTAACCTCCATGCAAAGGTCAGAACCCCTGGATGGCCCAGAGGCTCCCTCTTCCCTGCATCCCTAGCCTCATGGGCCAGTCTTGGTAGTGCATTTCCTAAGGACAAAGTAAAGGCCTGGGGCCGCCCCTTCACTCCCGTGGAGAGCCTTTGTGCATGTGTGTGAAGGATGCAGCTCTTACACACCTGCTTGATGACCTGCACCACCTCCTGGATGTGGGAGTTGTTAATCTCTCTCTTCAACCTGTTGGGTGATCAGAGTTTCAAGGAGGGCAGGAGGCCCCTGGGAAGATTACGGGAGACAAGTCTCTTCAGGGTGAAGGCAAAATGAAAAATCTGCCACGGGGCAGGACCCAGGCAGAGGCATAAATAAGGGGACTCAATGAGGATTTGAAGGGCTCTCTGAGGGAAAGGCTTCCTCTCTAAAATGCACTGTCCTTCAAGGCATGTAGGTGGAAAGCTGCCATCTCAAGGTTTCTCCTCCCTCTTTGCATGCTGGATTTTCCCTTAAATTCTCCTTTCAGCTCAAATAGTGTTGGCATCTGTTTTGCCTAAGGAGAACACTCTGATCAGAGGTGATGAGAGTCGGATTAACTTTTGAGAGCCAGGGGACAGGCACATCTCCGGAAAGGGAGTCGGGATGCATGGGCGGGGAGGCCCCTTCCCATCTGGAGTGGGGACCCTGCTCAGCACTGGCCCTGGAGTCTGAGTCCTGGGCCTCCCTCCAGGGCTCACCTCTCCTGGGCCATCTTGTCTGTGGTGACCTTGATCATGGCCTGGATCCGCTCCAGTCTCTTGGCTTCCAGCTTTTTTTTCATCTCTTTCGTGTCACTGCAGAGACACAGGCATCAGGAAGATGTTTAATGGGGCTCCAGGGCGGTGGGAGATGAAAGCCTGCATGGGAGGGAGGCAGTCGTACCTCTCCGAGGCCTCCTTGAGGGTCTTCAGCTCTGCAGCCTGTTTCTCTCTGGCCAACTCCATCATCTTGGCGATTTGCTGAGGGACGGAAAAGATGAGCTCAGCGAGAGACCTCTGTGGTGTGGACGGTGTGGGGACGCTAGGGCTGCCGCTCCGCCTCCCGCCCGGGCACCTCCGCCGCGTGCTGCTCCCTGCGCTTCAGGATGCATTCGTACTGCTCCTCGCCCTGGTGCAGCAGCTCCCCCTCCAGCCTGTCCTTCAGCTCCCGCACGCTCGCGCACGCGCCCTCGAGGCCCTCGCCCGGCGTGGCCCCGGAGGTCTCCTCGCAGAGCAGAGTCCTGCGGAGGCCACGAGGGGACAGGCCCTAAGCCCTCGGCCGCCCGCGCCCGCCCGCGCCGCTGAGGGCAGAGCAGCGCCCCCGCCCTTACCGCTTCTTGCGGGAGCCCTTGCCCGGGCTCAGCTTGCAGCCCCCGCCGCCGCCCCCCGCGCCCGGCGGCCGGAGAGCAGCCAGCTGCGCCAAGCCCCTCTGCAGGAGCTCCTCCCAGCGCCGCGCGCCGCGCCGCTCCAGATCCCGCAGCTCCTTCTCGTGCCGCCGCTGCAGCTTCACGACGCCCTTCAGCTCCCGCAGCTCCTCTGGGCTGGCGGTCCGCGGCTCTGCGGGGGCCGGGGTGAGGCGCGCCGCCACCCAGCAGCTCCCTAGGGCACATTCCCCCACCCAGGAGTCCTGGACCTGCCCCAGGCTAGTCCCCAAGATCACGCCGAGTCTGCAGGCCTTACCAGCAGCTTCTTTCGCGGGCTCCTCCCTGGCCCTGGCCCCAGCTGCTGCAAGAGCCACAGGATGGACTGACAGGTGCCCCGGGGGCCTGCTTGCCTCAACATGGCTCCTCCCCGGCCCCTGGGGGTAGCAGTCTGAGCCCCCTGCTGCGCACTTTCCCCGGTGCTGAGGCTTCAGACGCAGTGGTTCCCTCCCGGATAGTCTTAGTTTTGTAAAGAGCTGCCACCAGGTGGGGACCTGCCTATAGGTGGGGCTGGAGAGGTCAAGGCTTTTCCAGTAGGTGGGAGGACTCTGCGGTGCATACCTGTTGACCCGTTGCTGGCTGGGGCCAATGTCCCCTTGACTTGCCCCACAGCTGGACTCCCAGCAGAGAAGGGCTTCTGTGGAGGGAGAACAAGTCGGGAAGGTGACCCCGGCCGCCCTCTCCTTGAGCCAGGGGCTCTGCGGACTCCCTCAGCCTCCCACTGAGAAGGCAAAACTCCCAGGGGCACCTGGCCATGGAGCAGGCAACACAGACCTCAGGCAGACCTCCCATAGCTTCCTTGAGCTTCACAGACTTATCATGGGCACTGAAGAACTTGATGGGATTGGCGAGGGCCACAGTGAGATCTGGGTGCACAGGGGCATCACAGGCCTGGTATGGAGATGTACCTGCAAGCCTCCCCCAGGCTCACCTATCCCAAGGTACCCTGTCCTGCCCCCTTCTGCAGGCTGGCTTGAGAGGAGGGAGGGGAAAGGGACAGCCTGGGGCTCCCAGCATGCTATGGGCTTCCTACCTGCCCAGGTGTCAGGCACATAGTCCTTCATCTCCAGGAAGACAAAGAGCGCAGGCATAGTGAGGGGCATGTTGCTCTCACTGTGCAGGCACAGGTGATGGTATCCTGTCAGGCATGATGGGGTGGGCAGTGAGCCAGAGCAGCCCAATGTTCAAGACTTCTGGCTTTAGAGTCAGACCAGTGTCCAAGTATGGCTCTGCACCTTTCTGGCTATGTAGCCTTAGGCATTTTACTTTAAATCTCTGAGACTTTCCTCAGCTATGAAATGGGGAAAATTGTGTCTATCTCATGTGGTTATTGCTAGAATTAAGTGAGAATGTGTGATAAGCCCTTAATTCATTTTAAGTGCCCAACAAGTATCAGCTACTTGGGAAACTGCCCCAGGAGTTCAAGAATTGGGTTAGGTGGTCATTAGAAGGGCAGAGTACCCACTTCTGTCAGTTTCCTGGAGAGGTACTATTCCTGCCACACTCCTTAGAGCCAATAACAAGAGAGTTAGGTGAAGCCTCAGGGCCACTTCCCTGAAGCCACCGCACACTCTGGACAGGCTCCTGATGCTGGCCTTACTCTCAGACCCATGGGGAACAGCAAAGAAGGGCTCCTACCCTTACCAGAATTCAGGGCACTGATGGGGATGATGCGATGCCCAAGGAACTTGTTGCCTTCCTCCATCACAGCCACCCTGAGGGAGGCCAGCTCAGGCATCAGGATCTGCAGAGAGTTCAGGATACGGCAAGCTGGTGAGGGAGAGGGTGGCCAAGCTGCCCCTCTCCCTGGCTCCAGAAGTCTTCGGGTCAGTGTGAGAAAGTGGCAGGTATTAGCAGAGTTGGTGAGAACAGAGCACACTCAAGGCCACACACACAGATGTTGCCACAGCTCGTGCTGTAGCTGGTCCATGCAGGGGAGAAGGGCTGCATTTGTAGCTCGGGGCTCTGGGGTCTCAGGGCAGACAGCCTTTGGCAGCTTTGACAGTGAGTATCCATGAGGGCAAAAGACCCCTGCGATTCCATGGGACCCTGCACCCCGGACTGGGCATTCATGTTCCTGACTCTAATCCGAACATGAACATGCATGCACACACAAAACCAGCCTACCCACATAAGTTTCTGTAAACTTGGTATTTGGACTCTTGCAGTTCAGGAGGGCCCAGAGTGAGGGGTGTGGAGAAGAGGAGAATAAAGGAAGTCCCTTTATTTAATTCCTCTTTTCTGTAAGTAGAGGCCAGGAAGTACAGCAGACCCCAGCTCCTGCCCTGCCCTGGCTCCCACCTTCTCAAAGACAAAGGGTTCCTCCTTCCAGACAGGATTGATGGAATTAGTACTAGGTGACAGCTTGGTGCGGTAGCGCCTCTTGGGGTCCCCAGGAAGGCCAAACAGTTCTACTTCGACATAGGTCCGCACACTGCGTTCTGACAGGAACTGCCCAGAGATCACCTGGAGGTGGGGGCCCAGGAGAGGCAAGCATCAGCCCCCACCCAGGCTCTTCCCCAACACCTGAGGCCTCTGGGCCCTCTCACTGAAGCACCCATTCTTGAGTACTGTGAGGGGCGCAGTTGGCTCCCACCACCAAGTAGAGGCTGTGAGGCTCCAGGGTTACAGCTAAGCGCCGTGACCAGGGTACCTCAGCATTCAGGGAAGAGGTGTGGGCCTCCCCACCTCCCTCCCCAGGCAAGGGAGGAACAGAGCCCTCCCCCAGGGCCTGGGGCTCCGGCTGCCCCAGTCGGCCCACTCATCTCCCCTCCCCCACCCAGCCTCAGCCCGGCCCCTTGGTTTCCATGGAGACCAAGAGGCAGCCTCCAGCACTGAGGAGGAGGCAGTTTCCAAGGCAACTTGCTAGTGCACGAACTGGCTGGGGCTGAAGTTTTCAGGATATCAAGGGAGGGGGTTGGGAGGAGGGGAGTGGGGCTCCTGTGTCTTCTCAAGACCCCAGTCCTCCAGGCCAGTGGTCCGCCTCAGGGCCTTGCCGTAATGGAGAGGGTGGTGGCTACCACCACGTCAATGCGGTCCACCGAGAAGGGGTTGAACTGCTTGTCCAGCCGGCGCATGAACTCATGCTTGAGGAGGTAGCCACTCTGCCCGTTGAACTCAAACAGCGCCATGTTTTGCTGCATGGGCAGGTCTTGGGGAACAAGGGCGCTCAGTGAGCAAGGCCCAGCCTAGGGCTGTACCCAGTCTCCATTTCCATCATCTCCCAGCCCTTCCTGTCCTGTGGATGGGGAGGTTGGGGGGACTGTGAGGTAAGGGTTTCCCATGCCCCAGCCTGGCTCCTTAGGATGTCTCCTCTCTCAGGAAGGGTCCACAACCTGGAGTCAGCAGGAGCAAAGCTACAATCAGTCCACAGGCTCACAGTGGGAACTGAGGTTGGGGGGAGGTGTTCACACAGACCCACTCAGGCAGAGCGGCCAGAACCCATGCCAGCACCCTGGCATCTTCACATACATGCTTGCGTATGTGCAATCATACAGGCATGAGCTGATGCATCTATACCCCTAAACCCTGACACATCTGCATGTGCTCCCAGAGCCTAAACAAATATCAGGACACCTCAGTCTGTTCTAAAGACACCCCCCTCCCAGGGTGGGTGAAGGTGAGAGGGGTTCTTAGAGGCCTGGGACTGCCCTCACCCATTGTCTGGAAATTGAGGGCAACCATCTGGCAACCAGCATTCCAGAACATCTGGGGCATGTAGTTGGAGGAGTCCATGCGGGTGCCCTTGGGGTAAATGCGGCTCATCTGCCACTTGTTGTAGCTGCCTCAGAGTATAGGAGCCCAGCCCAAGGCTGCCGGCACCAGGAAGACCCAACAGCCTCCACCCTCACCCCCATGAGCACTGTTCCCCATCCCTTCACCCCAACCAGGGACCCTGGCTATTGAGGCCTCAAGGATACTCCACAAATTGCACTGCACCCTTGGAGAGCAGGTCATAAGCCTTTAGCTCTGTGAAGGAGGAGATAACATAACTTTGGTTCTTCTCTGTGTAGGGAAGAAAGGGGAGGGGGAGATCAGGTCAGGCTGTCCCTTCCCTCAGCCCTGCCCTCCCTTTTGGGGCAGCTCCCTCCCCCATAGAGCTCCCTCCAACCTAGCATTTCCACTGAAGCCCAAGGGTTTAGGGGATAAACCCCAGCCAGGAGAATGTGCAGATCAGTTTGGGTAGCAGTGTGTGCTGGGGGTAAGTTGTAGACAAAGTGGGTGCCCAGCCAAGGGGGGTGTGCTACAGTCCTAGAGAGTGAGAAGTGAGGCCCTGGATGGACACAGAAAGTGTGGGGAACATGCTAGGATGGGCGGCCTGGGTCAGGAATGTGCTATGATTACAGAAAGAGAAGCATGGTGCAAGCTACCAAACAAGAGGGGTGCAAACTACGCCGCTGAACAAGAGGGGTGGGGGGGCAGGGGTGAGAGGTATACACCAAGGGTACTCGCATTGGGCAGGATGGGGCTGCAGGCTGTGGGCGCAGGGAGGAGGGATCAGGGTTGCAGAGGTGTACACTATGCACAAGTGCATGCAGAAAGAGGTCTTCATGTTGGGGGCATGCAGAGGATGAAGGGAATGCACTACATGTGTCCAGAAAAGCTAGTGGTAATGACCGTGAGTGTGCACAAAAAGGGGCCAGTGTGCACTGGCTGGTTTCTCTGCCAGGAGTGCTCATGCGCTGGCGCCAGGACTTCTGGGCTTGGGCCAGCAGAAGGCAGATTCAGCCCAGGGAGCCACAGAACCTTTAGGAGCTACAGGCCAGCCAGTCTGAGGTGGCCTGTCATAAGCGACCTTCCTGTCACTGACATACACCAGAGCATTCTGCTTGGTGCCAAGTTCCTCAGGACAGTGCCCAGAAACTGGGAGCCACTGCCACTTAAGTAAACCCTTTGCCTGACTCTCCTGGGTATTTATAGACAGAGACCCAATCCCAGGAAGAAAGAGCCCCCTTTTTCTTTCCCCCACCCATCAAGCTCCTCTGGTGTCAGGACACACTTCTTAAGGGCCTTCTGAATCTAGCCTAACCTCCAGCTTACCCCCACCCTCCCATCATCATCCCCCATGCGAACTTACCAGCAGAGAACTCAAAGGAAATGAACTTGGTGGGCTGGATGTAATTGACTAGGCTGGACATCTCCTCATAAGCTGTCACCTCTAGGCCTGCTGTGCCCTGTGTAGGAGAGAGAAGACTGGAAAAGAGGGCGAAGGTACAGAGCCCAGGGATGAGGCCCCACACCCCTGCCTGGAGGCTGTGCAGGCAGAAGGGCCTCAGGGCTCTGCCCACACACCTCATCCGACTGCATCTTCTTCAGCTCTTCTTCGTCCAGGTTTCCTGACTCCTCCTCCTCCTCCTCTTCCACCTCTTCTTCCTCCAGCTGAGCCCCTTCCTCACCTGCCCACACTGTCACACAGGGCTCCATCAGCACCAGGGCCAGCCAGCCCTCCCGGCCCACACCACACACCAGGCGGGCTCCCCAGCACATCCCCCACAGGCCCAGCCCCTTTCCCCCTTCCCACCTGCCCCCCACCCAGCCCTCTCCCAGGCTGGCGACACACCTGTGTCCTGGTCCTGAGGGGCAGTGGCTGGGCAGCCTCCCTCAGCACCCCCAACAGGCTCCTCGCTGGGGGCTGCTGGGCCAGAAAACTGGTTCTTCTTGTTCTTAATGAGGATCTTGCCTCGGAGGTCCTCAGGGCTGGGCAGGGGGACACCTGGCTTCAGCTGTGGGAGAGGGGAGAGGGTCAGACCCATCTCCTCGCCTTCACGGGGTAGCCTAAGTTCCTTCACACCAAGCAGTTCTCCAGCTGCCCCTTCCTGCTCCTCCAGCCTTGCCTTCCACTGCTCACCACCATGCACTGAACTCCTGCCTGACCCAACTGACCCCATTCCACACACAATGATGCTCTCTCTCACCTCTTCCACCTGCCTTTCCCCACTCTCACCAGGATAAATCCAGTTCCTCCTTTAGGTTTCAGCTTAGCCATCACTTCCTCCAGGAAGCCTTCCTTAACCCCAAGTACTCCCATAGATTACTATGGAATTGTAAGGATTGTATTACTAGTTGTAATGTCCCAGTTTCTTGTCTGTCTCCCTGCTAGAGGGTAAGCAACCTGAGGGCTGGATTGTGTGTCACTAAGGTACCCCCAAGCCAGCACAGTGCCTGACACATGGTAGGTGGGGGGAATCCCAGTTCCACAATGCTCCCAGGTGGACCCCAGTGTCCTCTGGGGACATCTGCCTCCTTAACCTGGCCTCTTCCCTGCCCCAGGCTCCCAGCCCCCAGGCCCAGATGCCCCACAGTGCAGCCCACTCACCGGGAACTTTTCCAGGGGCTCTGTGAGTAGCATTTCCCCAAACATGGTCCGGCAGTACTCGGCCATCTTGGCCTGTTGGCGGGGTCTGCAGGGAGCAGAAGTGGGGTGGGGGTCAGCAGCTCCGCCCCCGTCTTATCCATCTTTCTGGGCCTCTGAGCTGAGTCATCGGGGGTGCAGGAGGTCAGGGAGGCAGAGGCACAGCCAGGAGAGCCTGGGATCCAAGGAGATTGAGGCCTGGGAGAGAGCTGGAGGGCATGGCTAGAGTCTGGGGATAGTTGGGGGAGGGAAGCTGCAGGCAGGAGATGGGGACAGGGTAGAGAATGGGGCTGAACAGGCCTGGATACGCACGAGTCCACATGGTTTTCAAAGGACAGGATGACAGGATAAGGGGAAGTCTTAAAGGCACTTTCCGCAATAGCTTCAATTGCTTCCTGGAGGAGAAGGGGACTCAGTAGAGAGGAGGTCAGTGCTCCAGACATCCACTCCCCCAGTAGCACCCTTTCCCACTCTCCAGGTTCAATACCCACATAGAACTGGAGGGCCACTGTTGGCCCCTGTCTCCTCTGGTCCTCCTCATTCCCACACTGGTCCAAGGCCTCCCAGCTGTCCTTCCTCTCTGCTTCACTCCCCCCACCCTCAGAAAGCTTGTGGCCCAGGGCCCTTCCCTAGTGCCACAGCCACCAGCCTCCACAAACCAGAGTCTCACCTTGAAGTAGATGTCTGTGGTCATGGTGAAGCCGTGGGTGATAATGGGCTCCTCATCAGGCGGCTTCCCCTTCCAGCAGTCCAGCTCCACGCAGCGGCAGCCAGCCAGCAGCACCTGGCGGTACATCTCGGCAGAGGAGAGGCCTGAGAACTGGCCAGCTGAGCCAGAGGGAAGGGGAAGAGCTTCACTCAAGGCCGTCCAGCTCTTTCCCACCCGACTCATGCTCTATCCTATTGGGAGCCCCAGGGGCAGCCCCTGTGAGGGATTCTGAAAACAGAAGCAGCCCATCAAAAGAGAGGTCAGCAATGAGGTGACTGGGGCCCACCTGTCAGGTAGGTGTTGTGTGAGGAGTTGATAAAATAATGATTGAGCGGCTGCATCATGTCGTGGTGGAGCATCAGCTTGTCCTGGGCCACCACGCTGTTCTCTGGCCCACAGAGAAACCACACCATGCCCTCGGGTGACAGCTGACCTAGGGGGAAGGGGACAGCTGTCAGGGCCACAGCCCAGTGCCCAGAGCAGGACAGGGTCCCCGTTCCTTTAGTCCTCACCCCTCTGCACGTTGATGCCACTGGGCTCATACTTGTCGATGAGGCCCCGCACCTGGTCAGGCCGCGCTGGCGGGAACAGCAGGGAGTTGAGGCGGGAGTCCCTCTGCTTCTGATTGATGAATTGGGTCAGGTGCTCCTTGGTCATGTAGGGTTTGGCCTTGGCATGGCTGCAAGCCAGAGAGATGAGCTCAGACAACCCCCTTCTCCAGTGAAGTCACCTAATTCCCAGCATGGCAAGTGGGAATTTTAGCCACTACTTCCCCATGCCCAGCCCAGTCCCAGCTCACTAGGAAGTGAAGATCTCGTCTATTTCTGGCCGAGGACAGAGGCTCATGAGGAAACTCTTATAGACGGATTCTGGGAAGTCCTCAGGATTGATGGCGTCATTCTGGGGGAATAGTCACCTGATCACTCCTGCCCCCACCTTCTCAGAGCTAAGAACCACAAATGAGGCCCAGCTCTGTGCAAGGGGGGCTGGCTCAGAGGCAGGGCCCAGGGCAGATAGAGCAGCAGCAAGCACAGCCCTGGGCACCCATTTCAAGGCCCCTTGGCCGCTGAGCAGAGAGCCTACTTAGCTGGTTTGCCTTGCCCTGAATTTGGACACAGGCTAGTCTCTTGGCAGGGACAGAACTGGAAATAAAAATGACCAGAACAGGGAGGAAAGGAGGTTAGAAGTAAGTTGTATGGCTTGCGAGAGCAGTGAGCTATCTTTCTTTTAAGTGGAGGGCAAATTTTCAAAAAAAGAAGCAATCTGAATATAAACAATGTACCAACCAACAGAGCCCCAAGATGCAGGAAGCAAAATCTGAGAGAACTGAAGGGAGAAGTAGACGATTCAACAGTAATAGTTGGAAGCACCAAAAAGCACAAGGAACAATAACAGAAAAGAAAAATTAGGCTTCATCCAAATTAAAAATGTTTGTGCTTCGAAAGACACCATCAAGAGAGTGAAAAGACAACCCACAGAATGGGAGAAAATATTTGCAGATCAGTATCCAGTAAGGGACAACAACAGTGAAAAGGCAAATAACCCAACTGAAAATGGGCAATGGATTTGAATAGACATTTCTGAAAAGAAGTTATGCAAATGACCAATAAACACATAAAAAGATGCTCAATATCATTAGTCACTTGGGAAATGCAAATCAAAACCACAATGAGCTACCACTCACTCCCACAGGATGACTTAAAAAAAGACAATAACAACTATTGGTGAGAATGTGAAGAAATCCCATCATCAGTGTTGGTGGGATTATAAAATGGTATGGTCACTTCAGAAAACAGTTTGGCAGTTCCTCCAAATGCTAAATGAACGGCTACCACATGAACCAACAATTCCACCATTAGGTACATACCCAAGAGTATTGAAAACATATACCCAGACAAATTGTGTACAAGAATGTTCACAGCATTATTATAATAGCCAGAAAATGGGAACAGACCAAATGTCCATCAACTGATAAATAGATAAGCAGAATATGGTATATTCATACAATAGAATATCATTCGGCAATAAAAAGAATGAAGTGCTGACACATGCTATAACATGGATGAACCTTGAAAACATAACGCTAAGTGAATGAAGCCTGACATCAGAGATCACATATTACATAATTCCATTTACATGAAATGTGCAGAGTAGGCAAATCTATAGAAATAGAAACAGAAGATTAGTGGCATTCAGGGATTCTGTGCCTCTGCATTCCTTCCCAGAAAAATCCATTAAGTGTCTTCCAAGATCATACTGGAAGGCCAGCATCGGTCTTAGTTTGGAGCTCAGTGGCCCCTATTGGGACATAAGCAGAGCTGACAAATAAGGAGGACTTAGCCAAGGTGGGAGACCAGGAGGCAGAAGGAAAAGAGGGTGAATGTATACAGCCTGCAGGAAGCAGAACTGGCTATAGGGCCCTCAGCAAGAGACCCTTTCCACCCCCTTTCTGGCCTCATGTCTGCATCCCCTCTAACTGATTGCATCACAGGGTCACCAGCTCCACAGAACTGTGATGGAGGAATTCATGTGGACAAGCAACCAATGAGGTCTTAGTTTTATTTATAACAGTCCAAATTCTTACCAGGAGAAAGACTCCATAGGATGCAAGTGGAGCCCTATACAAAGGCACTGGTCAAAGGGGAAGTGGGGGATGTGCTGAGATCTGCTCCCCTGGCCAGGCGTAAAGCCTGGCTCAGGGCTGTGCCTGTGCAGAGGGCTCCACATAAGATACTTCATGGGGTGACCCATACAACTTGTAATTAAAAATTACTTACTTAACTAAAAAGAAAGGAAATAGTATTTTCCTGTGTCAAGCTGAAGTCCATGTCCTGGCAGCTTCCACCCTTGGTTCTGTTCCTTCCCTCTGCACCCTGTAGACCTAGTCCCTTCTAGCAGCTTTCAGATCCCTGCCTTTGTCCCTGCTGACATTTTCTCACCCCTCCTGGCTGAAAACATTCACTCTCAATTTCCCTTCCAAGGCTAAGAATGGGAATGCACCCACCCCTGCTGCTTGCCCTGAATGGGGTCCACTGCCCACCATGGCCACCCAAAGGGAAGGGGCTGCAGAGCACCTGCTGAGAACCCAGGCCCCTCATCCCTCTTGCCCCAGCTTTGTCTCAGTGCCTTGTGCCAGAAACCAGTGGCTCTGAGGTTAGATGGCTTTCCAGGCTGTTGGTCAGGGTGTACAGTCATTCCTGTCCTCCGCACCCGACTCCAGGCTTGACCCTGTTACCCTCGTGTCAGAGCCAGCTCAGGTGAGAGGGAGGGGTCTGGGGTCAGGGGTTAGGGGAGGACTCACCTTGCCTTTGGGGAGGTGGCAGGCACTGAGGGCAGCCTCTACTCGCTTGCGATCAGCAGGAAACATCTGGAAAAAACTGAAGGAGCAGAGAAAGGCACCAGGCAAAGAGAGGGGTCAGGCCTGGAAAGGGAAGGCTTTGGGGAGCTGGTCAGAAGTAGGGGAAGAGTTGGGGAGACTCACTTCTTCACAGGGATCTTCCCTTCAGGGTTGAGCTGCATCTTGAGCTTCACCAGGCTGGCAGGGCAGAAAGGAGCTTGTCAAGGACCTGGGTTGGCATGTAGCCCCACGCTAAGGCCAGACAGGCGGGCACTTACATCTTGTCCAGGAAGGTGCTGCGGGAGGCATTGGCCGTCAGCGGGTGCTTCACCAGAGCCAGTATGTCCTCAGCCCAGTCCTGCGGGGCCCCAGAGCACAGCAGTCAGGCCCCTGACCACAAAGGTGCCCCCACCCCCTGGGGCCCAGGCCTGTCAGTCAGGAAATCCAGGCTATATCCCAGGTGCCAGGCCCCAGGCCGGGTGCCCCCAAAGCACCTTGCCCACATTCTCTTTGTAGGAGACAAAGTTGTGGAAGGTGAGGTCCACCATGTCAGGGCCAGACACCACAGTGAGTGTCTTCAGCAGGAAATTGTTGTCAGGAAAGTCCATGTTGAAGACATCCCGGAGCTTCTGGCTCTGTAGCAAGTGGGAACGTGGTTAGCACCAGAGGTGTGCCTCCATCCCTTTCTGACCTGGCCCTCCTGCCTCAGCCACCCTGACCTATGGCCTGATGGGATGGGATTGCATCCATCTGAGGAGCCACAGGCCTCAGCATCTTCCTATCCCTGACTTCAGGGGCTGGAGCAGGGATGGAGAGGCTCACAAGAAGAGATTAACCAAGGTGGTGGGACTGGGAGTTCTGTATATTTTGTTTGCCATTTTCCTTTTGAAGAAGAATTCTTAGCTCCCAGTCTCAGGGAGTCCTGTGTCCCACCAATCCCTTCCTCTGATTTTCCTACCAGCATTAGGCAAATACAGGCAAACCAGTTGGGAGGTGAGGGGGGTTCAAGCAACAACTCCCAGACAATCTGGAGTCCTCTAGGGTCAAGAGCTGGCCACACATCTCCATCACAGTGCCTTGGGACTGAAGTTCTGCAAGCCCAGAAGTGGCCACTGCCCTTCCTCCACTCCGGGGGAGCCCCTGCTGCCCAGCCCGGGGCCTGCCCCCGCTCCAGAGATCAGACTTCCTCCCCCACAGGACTCCTGCTTTGGCCCCATGGAGCTGAGCCCGGGCTGTTACTGGGCCCACCTACCTTGGGCATCTTGGCAAACTTCCCAAAGCGGGTGTCCCGGATGCTGGTGATATCCAGAAACTCCATCTCCTGAAAGAGGCCCCAGTGGGAGCAAAGAAGGGATGTGGACAAAAAGGGCAGGTCAAAAATGGAGAACAGGGAGGAGGGAGCCTCCACACTGCTTCACGTCTCAGCCAACTGCCTTCTCTAGATGCCAAGACTGGACCCCAACTCTCCCTTGCCACTGACCAGATTCTGCCTACTCATGGTGACCCTCCCCCCTTCCTCTCAGTCCACTCAAGTCACTCAGGAGCTGTGGCCTTCAGCCTCGCCCCATTATCCTGGACTCTCCACCATGTTCCCTGTCCCTTCCTTTGTCCAGGCACTGAGGCCCTTCTCCAATCGCTCTCTGAGCCTTGAAGTTCATCCAGAACCACAGGCAGAGAATCAGCCTTCAGCAACAGGTTTTTTTATTTCTCTCTCTCTCTAAAGGAGCATCTGGCCCAGAGGCAGCCATGGTTAGAATGACTGAATCCTCCCTCCCAAAGCAAATAGGTCCTGCCCACAGGAGATCCCCCAGAGCCGCCCTTCCAGGCTGTTCTATCTATACTCTTCAACCTTCATGCTACCACCCCTGTATCATCAAGAGGGTGCTTTGACTCAGCAGGTCAGTAGGGGCTCCGGGCCAGGGTGGTAGGGGCTGCCTCACCTTACTCTGATGTGTCCAGTATAAGTAATAGCCCTTGGGATCCACACGGAGTATAACTGGGGAGGCTACTGTAGTTTCCTGCAGAGAGAATGGGTCAGCTCTCTGCTCTGAGACTTCAGGCCAAGCTTCCCCAGCCAGGGGTTTCAGAGCTCACCAGCTCCCTAGGAGGTGGCCTTCCTGGGAACCTTCAGGCATTTCTCTTTGTTCTCCAGAGCTATGGGCTGGCCATGACCCTTGAAAGCTCTGAACCAGGGTTGGGGAGGGGAAGAAGATTATAAATAGCATTTCTAGAGGAGAAGAGGTTTCTCCTCTAAACCCCAAATCGAAGTTCTCCCTCTAGACCCCAAACAGGGTCTTGTCTCCCACGTCACCCTGTTTTCAAGGGCCACAGCTCAGCTATAGAGGTACAATGTCTCTCCCCAAGACTCGACACCCACCCAGAAGAGCCCAACACAGTGAGGGCCAAGCGCCCAGGCCCCGCACTTGCACCCGCGACCCTGAGCAGTCCAGCTGCAGCCTAGCTTCCTGCAGTCCACGCCCTGCCTCCATGAGCCACCTCCAGCCCGTCCACCCAGCCATCTGCAGACCCCAAATGCATGCCCACCTCCAAGCCTAAGCACCCAACCCTCTCCTGCCTGAAATACTTTCAAATATCAGCCAAGCCTCATCTTCTGAAAAGCCTTCCCTGAAACACGCTTTAATGAGGGGAGGTGGCTGATTCGCAGACCTAGGTGCCCATCCAGGAAATCCCCAAGCTCATGGACTCCAGGGAAACAGGCTTGTGCTAGACCAGGAGCTTGTGTGCTGGCCATGAGCTCAGTGCTCCATGCTGGCTGAAGGACCACGTGAGGGATGAATGAGCTTGATTCTAAATTCCTGTCCCACTCACAGAGCATGCAGGCTGCCTTTTATTTTGATGGTCTGTATGCATTGATCATGGGATAATAAAAATGAAGTCTCCAGCAAGGCATGGTAGTTGTTACACGCCCAACCAGACCACATCCAGAATTTACAAAAGAAATGGTCCAAAAAAAGGTTCTTAGGTCAGGAATAGTTAGAGTATTGGAGGAAGAACACTTGGGGAGGAGGCTAATTTTGGAGAAAGCTGAATTGTGAGCTCCATCCCCTTCCTGCCCAGATGGGAGGATTGGGGGTGACTGACCCATTACCTTAGCCTAGTGAGGGGTTCAGCTGTACCTGGAGAGTTTGGTCACCCCTACACTTGTGGGTCATATAGCCTGGGGTCTGACTCCTGCCCAGGAAAGTGACTTTTGGAAGCAGAGAGATGCTGGTTGGGCTAATGAGCCTGAAGCCACAAAGTCAGTTGGAGTAAAGAACAGTGAGTGTTTTCTGGGGTCCAGAGTGGCATGCAAGAGAGGGGACAGAGGCCCAGGCTACAGGGAGCTGAAGGTGGTGACTGTATTCTGAGAAATAACATCAAGTGACCTCCCAAAGTAGACTTGGCAAGAGGACCCTCACATGAGAGATCCCCGGCACAGGGGGCAGGGTCTCTTCATTTTGAGGAGGACCCTCAGAAATGGCCACCAGAGAAAAAATAAGCCCTAACCTCTGCCAGGCTCAGGGAGCACAAGCCAGCTGATGATAGCACCGGGTCAGTGAAGAACGCTGGTACCCCCTTCCCTCCTCTTTCACTGCACCCCATCCCTAGCACAGCCTGGAGGAAGACCAGGGAATTCGGCCACAGGCTTTCCAGAGGGCCTACAGCCCACCTGAAACTATTCCTAGATGAGAAGGGCAGAAGACATCATTCTAAATTAAGGTTTGAGTTTTTGAATTGTAACTAGTTTCTGAAATAAGACTGCGTTTTGTGAGGAAAGGGGGTCACGGGATTGTCTCTTCCCCAAGAGCAAATGGAATGTCTTGTGACTAGCTGATTTTCTTTCCAGAGTTCAGAAGGAGAGTGTTTCACATCAAATACACTGTAAAGGAGCCATGGGAGTCAAGATCAAGTTGGGAGTTGATTACATCCCATGCAATGTGCTTATTCAATATGGCAAAACATGCCCAAGTCTTCTCCCAATAGGGCGGACCATAGTCTGAGAGCAGGGTCCTGTCTCACAGATGCATGTGCCTGTGACTGGGCTTGGGAGGTCCTGCTCATGGAAGTTAGGATGCAGGGACTGGCTGGTGCCCTGCCTTAGGGAGAGGAATGGGGCAGTCAGGTACACAGGTGCTGGGTTGCAGAGAAAGCCACATAGCATGTCCCACACCTAACGCCCCCCCACCCAGTCAAGTTACACACACTTCCCAGAGGAACTGAGAGAGGCCACTTCATTTTTCATTCTGAGCCACTTCCCTCATTCCACAGGCTCCTGGGACATGCCACCGCTGTGCCACACTGACCACACCACTTCATGAGAAGCAGAAAGTATCCTGCCATGAGCTGCCTCCCCATAGTTACGGCAACTGGATTACTCAGCCTGCTGCAGCTCTGAAGGGCTAAGAACCCCAGGCTGTTAACGCCCAGATGGAGAGCCCCCTCATGCCACCTATAAGGAGGATGAGCCAGCCCTAATGGCCCTCTCCCCTTCCCCCAGGCCTTTATGCTCCCTTCCTAGGACCAGCCTTCTCTGACTTGCACACTGGGCCAGCACAGCAGCCTCCCTTCCCTAGAGGAGAAGCCCCAGATTTTGACAGCAATGCAACATTTTCAGGATCTGGGAAGACCAGAGACTGGGAAGCAGGCCCCAGTTTGAGAAGGAGCAGACACAGAGACAAAGGTACAAGGGAAAGCAGAGCCTTCCCCCCTCCTCTGCAGACAGGTGGGGGTCAGGGAGCCAGGCAGAGAGCAGCCAGCAGAAGCAGAAGTCAATCGTTCCCTCACAGGCCCCTGGGAACAGAGGCCTCCAGTTCTCACTTAGGGTCCAGGGGCCTTCTGTGGATGCCCCAGAGCTGCTGAGGGGAGCAGACCTTCCCTGGCACAGGGACAGGGTCAGGTAGGGAGTGGGGAAGGATTTCAGGCTGGGCATCTGCTGAAACAGGAGCAGAATGTCTATGCTGGCAGTAGGGGCCTGGCTCGCCTCTGCCTCTGGCCCTGCCTCAGCTCTGGGGCACACTTGCCTCCCTCTGACACGGAGACCAGGAGCAGTGAGCCCTGCCCCTCTTGGGGCTGGAGGAGGCCTGACCCACACCAAGGAAACATCCCCCTGTGACCACCCAGGCAGCCACCCTCTTGTCACATCCAGACCCAGAGCCTTAGTGCAGGCAGCCCGGGGACACATGCTGGGGGCACACACCCTCACCCCCGGGTTTGTTTATCCAACCAGCCGTGGCAGCTGCCTGGCCAAGCCACACAGGCTCCTGGGTCCCCGCAGACATAAGCCAACCCACTCACCCTGACAAGGCCCCTAATAGCCAGCCCCACCACCCCAGGTCCCCTGCTGCCCGCTGCCCCTGCCCCACTCACGTCATCCCATTTGATGAAGCGTTCCCCTTGGCTCAGATAAGCCTTCACAGTGGGGGGCAGCAGGACAGGGTTGAGCAGAGACATGGTGCAAGCATCCGTCTTTGGAAAGGCTGTGCAGGCCCAGGGGGCAGGAGGAGGGAAGGAAGGAGGACAGCAGGGGGGAGCCAAGCTGGGCTCACATGGTGCCCGCCCCACGGCTGTCCAGACGCCTGGATGCTCCTTTGGCCCACAGGTGGCAGGGGCTGGTTGCAGAGCTGAGTGGGGCAGCCAGAGGCCCATTTGCCTTTTAAAGCAGCCTCCTCCCGCCCGCCTGCAGTGGGGGGCTGTGGTGACCGCTCCTGCCCAGGGAGGCCGGGCTCCCTGCCTTGAAGCCCCCGCCCTCAGCCTGTGCCTCAGCACTTCCTGCTCAGGGCTTCCTTCTCTGCTGCTCAGGACTGAAAGGCAGGTCGTGAGCCTGGGTGGCTTGGAGCAGGGGCCTCTCAGGCCCGGGGCAGTCCCTGGTCAGATGTGGCTGGCAGGATGGAGAAGGAATAATATGGGGACCAGCTGGGGACACTGTTGCCCAGGCCAGGACTGAGGGGAGGGTGCAAGGAGCTCATCAGGGGAAGGGACCTCCACAGAGGTGGGGTCTGGAGCATAAGGGTCTCTCCCAGAGGTTGAGGGGGCTATGACCACCCGGAGGTGGGGGTTGAATGTAGGGCAGGGTTCAGCTGGGATTGAGTGTTTTGAATAAGCAAAGTTAGCTGAACACCCAGCTCCCCTTTCTCAATGCTTCCTCCCCATGAAAATGAGGTACAAGTGAGGCAATCATGCCCCCATCCACAGCACATGACTCTCCTCCTGGCCCTCTTGGCCTGGCCACGGCCTGGAACCTCCACTGACCAGCCACCACTCCACACACAGTTGCTTCAAGCAACCTCTGGCCTCCAGCCTCCACTGTGCTCTCCTGCCAGGCTCTGTCTTCTGCTCTGTGCCCAGGGCCTGGGCTGAGAACGCCTGGGACATGGGCTGCTTGAGGAGGCCTCAGCTTCAGGGGCCTAACACTGCCCTGGCCCAGGGAGCTCAGTTCTAGCCCACTTCCTCTTGCCTAACCTGCTTCTGTTACCACAGCTGGGGGAGCAGGGAGCTGCCCAGGGCTTCCTTCCCCTCTCAGGGCCTGGCTTTCTGTGCCAGGTTCCACCGTGGGCCTTTGTGCCACCCCTGACATCTGTGGATCCCTCACCCAAGCCCTAGAACTGACTGCTGGCCAGTCTGGGTCAGAACAGGATAGGAGACACTGGGGTCTGGAGCTAAGGGGATTCCTGACACAAAAATAGCCCCTCAAAAAGCAGTTATGAGAGTACCTGGGTGGATCCTAGAGCAAGGCCTGAGTGAGCCTGTGGAAATGGCTCAGGAATTCCTGCATGCCTTCTTCTACCACTTCTGCCTTCAGGACTCATCCTGTCCCCTCCCTTCACATGTTGCTGTCTGTCTTCTTTCCTCCCTGCCTCCCTCCAGCCTGGAGTCCTTCTGGGGGCCCCTCTGGTGTCCCCTGCAGTTCCAGTTCCCTCCCTGAGATCAGGTTCCCTCTCTGTTTGAATGGATTTTGCAAGGGAAATCCTGCCCCTTCCAAAAGGCCCTGCACCTGTCACCTGCGGCCTCCCCTGGTCAGGCACCCAAGTTCCTCCTTGTCTGCTCTGCAGACATCAGTCAGCCTTCTCTCCACTGTGGGCCTGAAAAGACAATCCCCTTCCTCTCCCTCAGCTTGGGGACAGGGAAGGAACTAAAGGTTGAGGCATGGATCCACAGAATAGAAGCCTCACTTCTCTTTACCCAGTGGTGGACCTGCCTGACCCCATTCTTAAGACCCCAGCTGTAGCTTCAGTGGTGCCTGGACTCTCCTGCTCACATCCTACAAATCAGCCCTCAGAATGCAGGAAATCCACACAGCAAGGGAGCCAGGAATACCTGCATCAAAGACGGCTTTTTTTCTTTTAAAGATACATTTAGGTTTTTTAAAAATATTGACCAAAAAAAAAAATGTTTAAATAATGGTAGAGTGGGTTATGGAGAAAATCAGGGTAATCACCAGATTGCCCAGGTTGGGAAAGGTGGCTCCTGGTCTGAGCTGAGAAGCCAGCACCACCCCCACCACCCCCATGACTCCCCCGCCCTGCCCCACTCTGCCCCACTCCCCCAACAGTCTGCCCATCTCACCCCTAGGGCAGAAAGTGGAAGGGCGAGGATGCCGCCTAGTGGGCGCACTGGAAAGCATGTGCCAGCTGAGAATCCAGGCAAAGCAGACGCTCCAGGAAGTCACCGGTGTGTCTGTCATTTGTGATCCATGGAGACACATACGCTGGGGAGTTTGGCAGGTATGAGCTTTGGGTGAAGAAGGCAGTGGGAACTTGCATTCAACATGTGAGCCTCCCAGGGACGTGCAGGTGCCCTGGAGCCCAGGAGGCAGGTCCCAAATTCACTTGATTTCTTGGCAGCTTTGTGTGCAGACCTTGTGCTTTGGTTTCTCAACCTGTTCGTCAGAGAAAATTGGTGATAGTAGCTGCCCTGAGATCTTCAGGTTTCCAGCCAAATGAGAGTCAGGTTGGCTGGTTTCTTACTGGATGCTATGACTTATCTGATGAAGCAGTGGGGTTGAGGAGCCCCGAGGCCTGTTGTACATCTTGGCCCAATGGCTAGCTTACTTTTGGAATGAAAGTGGCTTAGTGTTGCATCTTCTGTGGTCTGTTTTCTAGTCTGGCGTAGGGAACCCACTCAAGCTCTATGAACCCAGCCACTTCCTAGCTGTAATCCTTAACCAGTAGTACTTTATCCTGTGATACTTAACCTTGCTGTGCCTCAACATTCTCACCTGTAAGATGGGGATAATAATGTCTCACAGTGATGTAAGGATCGATGTAAACTATTTAATATGGCACGTACCCATGAGCTCAATCATATCATTATCACTATTTATCATTATTATGTTAGCAGACAATGGCAGAAGAAATGCAGTTTTTTAATAACTTCCTCCTGAGTATATATGCTGTTGTTTCCAAACAACTATCTTCATTGACTTGCTCTTTGGATCACTTTTTCTTTTTCAGCAGCTTGTGTGCATCAGGGGCTGGATGCACCTTCCCAGAGCAGGCTGAGTTAGGGGTGCTCCTGGTTGTGAACTTGAAGCAGACTATCTCCCAAGGGGCCTGAACTCATGAAGTCATGAGCACAAGGGCTCAAGTCATGGACAAGAGCCAATACCCCACCACCTTTGCACCACCACAGCCCCCACAGCTGATGAGGCAGGTGTGTGAGCAAGGATCACAGCTGTCCATCAGTCTAACTATATGTCCAGCTGTGGCTCCAGATCCAGCCACCCTCTGTGCACTGAGAGGTGAGTGTGAATAGAGGCAGGAACAGGGCTGGGTAACAGGTGCTGAGGTTCTAATCCCCTACATAGGAGAGGAAAGACAATCAAGAGTTCTCTGCAGAAGCCCAGGAGGAAGATGTTGCCTGTCCTCCCATACCAAGCCCTTCTAGAATCATAGAAATAACCATCTGGGGCTTAGATCAGTCCCATGTGTGTTTCCTTTGAAGTGCCATTTTGGATCGGACTTACCAGGTGGTGTAGCTGAGTGAATACTTCACCCTCAAGAATCCCAGGTTTTAGTCTAGACCCAACTGGGGCTTTGCTATGAGATCTTGGCAAGTTACCTGAGCTCTCTGATCTGCTAAGCTTTTTGTCATTTCTACAATTCCCTCCAGCTCTAAAAATCTGTCTTTCTAATCTTAAAGGCCAACCTTGTCACTTTTATCTCTTGCCTTTCCTCTGAGAGATGACAAACCTAGAGATGAGAGCTGCAGATGGCAGAAGACTGGCTCCTATCCCAGAATGTGTTCTTGGACACATTACTCATCTTCTCTGCCTCTATTCATCTATCTGTGAAATGGACCAGTTTTCATAGTGCCATGGAAATAAGTTAGATGATGTCCTTCTCCAGGCTGTCAGGTGCATTGCACATAAGGAGTGTCCTCAGAACAGATTGCTTCTATCCTTACTCCTGTCAGGTCCACCTTTCTATCAGGACCTAGGCAAAGCCATAGTGAACAAACCCCTCAACTTTGTGATAGTAGGAAGCCAGTGAGAACAAGGCATATGTTGAGAGACACACTCAGAATCCCAAACCATCCTAACCTGCTGAAGCAACAGCCTGAGCCTCACAAGGTAAAATGAATGTGGATTAACTGAGAGATCTGGGCTTCACTCCAAGGCACCCTCTCCACAAGGACAGGGTGGGGAAGTGGCAGCTTAGCAGAAGCATGTGTGAATAAAACTAAGGTTTTTGCTGACAGCCAACTCCAAACGAGTCAAGTGAAAAGGCTGCCAAATAAGCAGACAGACTCAGTCTGCTGAACTGAAGTTGAGTACCAAGCCCAGGGATCCTCCGTCTTGGTATCAGAGTCACCTGGGAAGCTCTGGTACCGCTGTGTATTCCTTGCTGCATTCAGACCCTCTGGATAAGGACCTGGGTTAGGTGTGTGCAGAGAGGGGAGGGAAGATGAGGAACTTGTATTTCTAAAGCTCTTCAGCCCTTGTGCAGCCAGGGCTCTAGAATAAAAAAAAACTCAGTCCCATTCTCATTCTTGGCATGTCAGAACACATCTGATATACTCAAGGACTTCAGCTTAGGTTGCTTTATCATGGGGAAACATGGAAGCTAGAATGCATGCAACACCCTGTGAGGACTGTGGAGGGAACCACAGCATAGTCAGAATGGGTTGCCAGGAGGTCCACTTTCAAATGGGTGAGACTTGTTCTCTGGGGTCCCAAAAGTTAGAATCTTAGGTGACTTAGGTGACTGTCTTAGGTCAGCTTCCCCATAAAACTTTATGAGACAGAGATTTGCTTGCAGGAAGTTTATGGGGAGGTGCTCTCAGAAACAAGACAACTCACCTGAGGGAGTGAAGGAAGCAGGATTGAGTGGAGGAAGAAATTGATTGATGTTGTAGGCACCACAAAGGACGACTCCATGGAGAGCTCTGGGGTTTAAATGACCTGTTAGAGCTGGCCCCAAATAAGGCAAGAGGGCTGGACCTTTGAATCCCCACGTTGACCAGGCAGATTATCCCTAGGGAGGGTTCATGAAGTCAGGCAAGGCAGCTCCCTGTGGTGACTGAAGGAAATGCCCAGAGAGATTTATCTGTGAGCTATCAGCAGCCAAAACTACTGGCAACTTGCTGACAAGCTTCTTGGTCTCAAAAGCAGGACCTGGGTGGTGCACCACAGGAACCACAGTGGTACCCACTTTGCACAACTTGGGCCAATTTGCTTCATATGATAATCGGGGACTAGCTTCTCCAGGATTCTGGTGATCGGTTTCTCTGGGAAACTTACTAGAAAGTAAGTGGAATGAACTAGAGTCCCCATTACTGCAGTTTATCTTGGTGTCACAACTGATATTCAGCATCCTCCCCTTTACCCATTCTAGATTTTCTTTACCTTTAGCTTGTACCTCTGCTGGTCTAAGGGGTTTACCCTGTGGGGTGATTCACACCCTCATTCCTCAGCCCCTAATCATCATGCCCTTCTCAAACCATGCTGCTAAATTTGTCTGCTATCAAAATTGGGCAAGTAACTACCACGAGACACCCTAGTGGGTCACTGAGTGTCAAATGTATTCTTCCATTATGTAGCACCAGCCCCATCTCTTCCAAGGATTGGTGTCCAGTACCCCTGCAAGGAAGTGACTCCTTTTTTTGCTGCTGGTCCCTTGACACAAGGTGTCTGAAGGACAGAAAGCACCCACACTTAAAGCTTATGGGGTTCTTGTTCTGTCCCCTGGCAAAAGTGTTCCACATCTAAGAACCAAATTCTCTAAACCCAAACATCCTGGAACTGTAGGGTTTTAAGACTAGGTACCACAATTCCCCCAAAAAGGGCACTTGGAGTGAGGATAATGGGTTATTCCTACTTCCACCCCTTGTTTCCTAGACCTCTGTATCCTACATATTGGGCATAGCACCATATTATAGTTACTAGGTAGGGTGCCAACTTCATCTTAGGGCATGGAGGAGTCCCATCGTCTCTAAAATGGTATGTGAGCTGCACCTTTGAAAGGCTGTTCTTTTACTCTATTAGCTCTATTTCCTAGTGAACAGCAAAGTATGTGAAGGGCCCAGAAGATTCCATGATCACGTGCCTACTCTTTTGGTGTGAAGTGGGACTCTTGGTCTGATGCAATGTTATGTAAGATCCCTTGTCAGTGAATCAGACACTCCTGAAGGCCTCAGGGAATGGTGCTCATTAAGGCCTTTGGCAGTGTTTTCTTTTGCACACAGCAGCATAACTCCTTTAGTTTCCAGACCAGTTCCAACGTGTGTGTGTCTTCCCACGCATAACCCCAAGCAATTCTTGGACACCAGCAGGGTATCTGAGAACTCAATTCTGATGCTATCTTCATGGAGACAGCACCAGATTCCCCAGGTTAAGGGCTCTGTCCTACAAGACTGCCCTCCACCCCCAACTCCAGATGCTGGTCCCAAGCCCCAGGCAGTTACCAGTGCTTCTGACCTACCGGCTACAGACTGGAGGTTCCCACCACCTCCCCCTTAAGTTTGATTAATTTGCTGGAGCGACTCACAGAACTCGGGAAAACACTTACACTTACCAGTTTAATAAAGGGTACAAGTTAACAGCCAGATGAAGAAAGACACAGGGCAAGGTCCCAAATAAAGGAGCTTCTATCCTTGTGGAGCTGGGGGCCTGGCTCGGTGACACGCAGAAGCTTTCTGGTTCCCCAAATGTAGAAGCTCTCCAACAGAGAGGCAGGACGCAAGAGAGACATGCTCTTTTCATGGGTTTTTGTGAGACTTCATTGCTAGTCATAATTGACTAAATCATCGGCCACTGGCTGATTCAGCCTCCCACCCCTGCCCTTGGGTGGGGACTAAAGGCTCTCATCAACGCGACAAGACACCATTTCCCATTTCACCTTTAAGTCTCTGAAGTGTTTCAGGAACTGTAGGGGAAGATGGAATACACTTGGGAAATACATATTTGGTCATCTGAATGACCAAATATGTATTTCTTATAACTCATTATATGACAGACAGGAAAGAGAAATCCATATCCAGAATATATGCCAGTTCAAGTCAAGATGAATCACTAACCAACTGCTCCAGAGTAGAACCACTCCAGTGCAGTCAACTTATTGCTAAGTGGCTGGTTGACCATCAGTTGTTGGCAGGTTGGACATTTGGCAGCAATAATAGCTAGATAAACCTAGGTGAGAGAGAGCCCATTCTGCTGGGTCCACCCCTGCCACCATACACAATATGCCCATAAGTAGCCACCATCTATGCCCACCATGGCCCACTGTGCCCACAGTGCCAGCCTGAGTGGTCAAACACAGAGGTTGGCTAACATCAGCTCACCAAGTCATTCTATCTGCTTGGTTCTTTAGCATTTCCTCCATGGTGGATGCTCTTGGGTGGGCCTTTATATCCAGTGTATAGGTCTTCTCATTTCATGCCCATTCCCATAAATACATCCACATGCCTCTTCCCAAACCTTGTTCCCAATCTTCCAACATTTCTCTTTTTGGGCCTCCAGCCAGCTAATCAAGCCATTTGCTACAGCCCATGAGCCTATACATATTTATTACCTAGGGCTACACTACCAGGGAGCCATGATAATGACACAGTTCCCAAGATATCAGTGTCAACTCAGACACTGCATGACTTGAAAATGTTTGGTTATTCTACTTTCCCCAGTGTACTGTTACCCAAGTAAATAGCCATAGGTCCCTTTGGGGAAGGAGAAGGGAAATCATTACTAGATTGCCACAGTATTACAGAAGGCTTCCTTCTGGGAACCCAACCTCTCCTCCAGAGAGGGTCAGTGGGTCCTAGATCCAAAAATTGAATCAGATCTGGAAACAGGACAAGGTATTATGACTTTTTATTGGAGCAACTGCTATCAACCTCCTGGTCTTTCATTTCTGATTTCTTTTCATCGTACAGCTCAGCAATTCTGTGTGTGGTCTGAAGATCCCTGAGGGTTCCTGAGACTATTTCAGGGATTTTACAAGGTGAACATGTTTGCACAGTAATACTAACATATTATATCCCTTTTACCTGTGTTGACATCTTCACTGATGATGAAAAGCATTGTCAGGTAAAATTTCTGGCACCTCAACAAACCAAGGCAGGGGCACCAAACTGTTCTGGTAGTTCATTGTGAAAGAAAAGAAGGAAGGGGAAAAGGACAGAAAGAAGAGAGGGAGGGAGGAAGAAAAGAGTCAGTTTCACTTAAGAATGTCCTTACTTCTTAAGTTTTATTAAATCATGACCCTTAAATACATGTATTTTTAAATATTCTCTATGATTAAATGTAAGTACTGGACCGCACACAGAAGTATAATGGCTCTCTTCTGAACCATTGAACAATTGAGTTACCAGCTAAATAAGCCACTTTTTTCATGGAACACAATTGTCATTTGAAAGAATAACTGACAGATAAATCATGGTTATACAGATTTAGTTATTTAGCAGATGTTTTCTCAAATTCAAACCAACTAAGCTTGTTGCTCTGAGGAAACAACTGATATCATTTGTTGCCAATGATAAAATTTCAAGTAAAAATCAGAATTTTAGGAAACCTGTATGCATTATCATGAGCTTGACAAATTCCCAATACTTAAACCTTTTCTGATGACACTAACAAATATGATTTTTAGTATTGTATAATGAATTGTATCAATATTTGAAATATTATAATTCAACAAACCAATATTTTCCAGTGACCAAAGCAGAATGTTACAAAATCATGCATGGGTAGAAAAACCATTCACATTATGCAAGGTAGATTAATAGACTTTAATGTGATTGAGTACAAAAAGTCCATTGATGTCATTTCATATTCTACATTACAACTACCGCTTAAGAAAATACTACTTATTGAGCTTTGGTGTAACACCAAAGAAAATTACCCACAATTATCTGAAAGGCTATTAAAGGTGCTCTTCTCTTTCCCAACTACATATCTGGGTTAGGCCAAATTTCTTCATATATTTTAACCAAAATAACATATTGCCAATAGAAGCAGATATGAGAATCCATATATTCTCATACATGCATTCTCTTCTTAAAGAATGTAAAGCCACATTTAAGAGGTTTGCAAAAATGTGAAAAAAGCCACTTATTTCACTGACTTTTCTGTTTTACAAAATATAGCTATTTTCCATAAAAATGTTATGTATGTTAACATATAATGGGCATTATTTTTTAATGAGCAGATAAATATTTTATACAGTTTTCATTCTTATTTCTAATATAAATGTCAATAGATATAACCCACATAAACAGATATTTGGAAATAACAATTTTCAAGAGTGTTAAAGTGATCTTCGGAACAAAAAGTTTGAGATCCACTGGTATCGGTTGAGCAATACCATTACTGGCTGCCCATTTAGTCTGCCATGGGTATATTATGTTCTGTTAACCATTGCATAACTCTACTACCAGGATGCCCCACTATTACTCCAACTTGCTGCTCATTACAATAGTTGGGCCAACCTCTGGTTTCTGTGATTTCATGATCCTATCATCCCCATTGCTCTCAGGGAGCCAATTCTGTGATGGCCTTCCTATCAGCCCTGGCCGACAGAGGACAGCCAAAGTGAGCTGCTCACCACTGCATTATCTTTGTTTCGATAACCAGAGTAGCCTCTGGGCCTTTCTGTAGAACTTCAGTGGGTTTCTGGCCGTACATCAGATTCTCACTAGAGCATGCCCATTTTTCTGAACTTGTGGAGCCTTTCTTTCACCTTCTGCCATGGTCCTCTGGCATTTCCATTTCTCTTGGTGGGCTGTTGCCTTTCTCCTTTCTCCCAGGATAAACAGGGCATTAAATCCCGTTTCACAGGAGAGTGCTCTCATATCAGGAAATTCTCTTATTCAACTAAATATTCAGCTCCCCCTTGATCCAGCCTCTATATCCTCTTCTGGTTCCTTCCAACTGGGTACTTCGGCAGCTCCTTGCAGGTATAACCCTCTTCCTTCCCTAGCAGGCCCCTGCACATTGCTGGCTGAGCTGCTGCAACTTAGCCTATTTATTGGTCTTGTAGGCCAGGAGAAAGAGGCAGCTTCCTTTGGTGCCTGAGGGCGATTCCCAAGGACAGTGGCCCCTGTGAGCCACCAGTAACCCACACTCCTGGCAGCTGGCAGAGTGAGTGCCTCCACCCTGAGGGTGATCTGGGTGGTACCCCCCAACATCCACTGCAGAGTGAAGTTCAGCTCTGCCTATAAGGCAGAGTAGAGCAGAGATTAGAACCTAATGCCCTCCAGTCAGAAAGACTTGGGTTTCAATTCTAGCTATGTGAGCTTGGGCAAGTTACTTAACTTTTTGAGGCAGTTTCTCTAAAATGAAGATAAATAGAAACTACCTGATTGTTGTGAGACAAATGAGACATGGAGTTTAAACACTTAGTACAGTGCCTAGAACAGAATAAGGGTATGGATGTTGCTGCTCTTATAATCTGTCAGAACCTTCCAAAACCTGAATAGGCTGCCTTAGGGAGCTGACAATAAGGAGCACCACCACCGAAGCTCTTGTAGCTGATGCTGGTGAGGGCTCCATAGGGATGCTGTGGAGGAGGTTCTAGGATCTGTGCGGTATTTACAAAAGATGACCTTTTGGGTTAAATTCTATCCCCAAGCTGCCTTGATTCTCTGATTTCTCACTTTTCCTATCCTTAGTCTGGGGTGGGGGTGGGGTGGGGTAGGCACTTAAAGAAGCATATTCACATTCAGGCCACTAGGGGGCCATTTAGTTGCCAGCAGCAGGAATACACTAATGGTTTCTTAATAGCTCAGGCACTAGGGAGATCAGACTCAATTATATCTGAAAGCATTTTGAGTTTCCTGGGGAAAAAGACACTGCGTAAATCCAGAAAATAAATAGGGTCTATTGATGATAGGTTAAAGAATCTGGCACTGTTTGGTTTGGAGAAGAATAGGGGTGAGAGGAATTGAATAAAAGTATCAAGTATATTTGTTCTTTAGTATAGAAAAAGATGACATGCTGTTTTCCTACTCACCAGGAACCAAGCAAGAAGAAAGAAGTTTAATTTGCAACAGAAGACATACAACATGCATTCAAAAAGATGATGGAAGGAGGCTCTGGGTTGGCTTTCCTCGGAATCTTTCAGAATAATTCGCCTAGGTATATTGGTATGATCCATCCAAGAAGACTGGAAAGCAAGGAAATAAGAGGACTACATCCAGAGACAATTCAGGGATTTTTAACTTAACAGGCTACTAGATGGGCCATGGCTGATCTGGAAGCAGGATGGGAAAGGAGTGGTTATCTTCTCCCTCAACCCACAGAAGGCAATAAACATTCCAAACTTCCAATGTCCTTAACATTTCTCAGAAAGTAAAAAGCCAGGATCGTCCTGGAAATAGCACCCAGTTGGCCACAGCCAGGCAGACTCACACCTGGGCTGAGGAATCAAAGTGAGGCACAAGGTTACAGGCCTAGGGTTCCAGCAAGAGCAGCACACTCGCTCTGGTAGCCCCTGACTTCTCTACAGTTCAAGTGGCAGGGCAGCAGTGCTGGGGAGCCGCTTCCTCATAAGGGTCAGAGAGGGGAAACTGGTAGGGTGGGAAGGGTCCTGCCCCCAGAATCAGAAACCAGGAGTTAGACTCACACATGCAGGGGCCAGAGGGGACTACCCACAGATTCCCATGGGGATCACAGTCCTCTCTCACACATACACACACACTCACACAGGCACATATTCCCACACCCACTGACAACCAGGCAGTCCATACACCCAGCTCTGGGAACACAGGAAGTACATTCAAGGAGGAGGGAACCAGAAATTCTGGAAAGCCTTATAGAGAGGGAATGGGGAGGAACGAAAGCAGGAGAGAGAAGGGCAGAGGGAGTGGGGAGGCAGAGCAGCCACTGAGTGTTCAAGCTTGGAGAAGGGTCGTCAGCACCGAGCAGCAGGAGGACAAACCTCACCTGCGAAATGGGGCAGGGGAGCAACTGCCCAGACTCTGAAGCTCCGAGAGGATCAGGGACGGGAAAAGCTCTGGGAGCCGCACTCCACTGATCAGTGAAGACCCTGAATCCAAATCAAGACCAAACCTGGGAGGAAGCAGAACCTGAGACCTGTTGGAAACGTCGGGACTACGGAGGGAAGCAAGTCTGGATAATCAGCTCAGTCCCAGAAGCTTCAGAAAATCTGGACAGCCAGACTCCGGGGTTTAAGAGGACAAGGAATGGGGAAAATTGCCGCAGAGTCCCGAAGCCCAGCCGGGAACGGGAGAGGGAGAGGGGCGACCAGCTGTGACCACAGTGCGTGCTCCAGGTTCATTGGCTGCTTGCGCGGGACGTGGGCCAGACTCGCTAAGTGTGAAGAGGTCTGAGAGACCCTCCCGGAAGATACGTGGAGCGGGGCGCGGGCCGAGAGCACGACCGTGGTATCACACCCACTTCTGGGGTAAACTGAGGTCTGGGAAGGAAGCCGCCGCTGCTATTCCACTTGTCACTTTGGACGGTCAGGGCAGAGCGGGAAGGCGCCCGAGCTGACAGCTCGGCTCTCCGACAGCCCCGACCGCCTCCCTTCCAGTTGTTCCCCACTCCGCCCCAAACGACGTCGTTCCCCTTTTAAAGAAGCACCGAGGGTCCGCGCCTCACCGCCGCAGCCCATGCGGGCTGCGGCGACGTTGCTCTTTTAAGAAGCAGCTCCTTTTAACTCCCTGCACAGAGCTTTCCCCCGGGACTCGCGGCGCGCGGCAGAAGCCCGCCTCTCTGCGCGGCACTTCCGGACCCCGGCGTTGCCCATTTAAGAGGCGGTCCACAGCAGCGCTCTCCCCGCCCCCTGTGCCCGGCGCGCGAGGAGGGGGAGCCGGGCTGGAGCCGAGCGCGCGGTCCGCGCGACCACAGGAGATCGGGCGGCCGGCGGCCGGGCAGGCGGCGGCGGCGGCGGCTTCGGCGGATGGGGACGCGGAGCCGGGCGGCGGTGACGGCGGCGAGGAAGCAGCTGACGGGCCGGCGGCGGCGGCGGCGCTGGCGGCAGTGACTGGCCCAGGCCCGGCGGCGGCTGCAGCGACACGGTGGCGGGCTGCGGGCGGACGGCGTGAGGAGCGGCGGCGGAGCTGCCGGGAGCCGGGGGTGCCGGGACGCCCCCTGACTAGTCCTCGCAGGCCGCCAGGCCCCCTCCAGCCGGGGCCGTGGAGCACCGAGGCAAAGGCCGGGGCCCCCCCATGAAGGAGCGCGACGTGGCCCCGGCCGAGCGGGGCAAGCCGGCCACCTACACCGGGGACAAGAAGGCGAAGATGGCGGCCAAGACCAACAAGAAGTGGGTCCGGCTTGCCACCGTGTTCGCCTACGTGCTCTCCGTGTCGTTGGCCGCCATCGTGCTCGCCGTCTACTACAGCCTCATCTGGCAGCCGGTGGGCGCCGGGACCTCCGGGGGAGCCGCTGGCCCGCCCCTCGGCGGCTCCAACGCCACCGGCCCGTCCGGGACTTCGGGGGCGACAACGGTGGGGTCCAATGCCACGGGGTCGTCCCGCCACGAGGCGCCGCGCGAGGCGCCCCCGCTGCAGGCGGCGCGGCCCCTGGCTCCGGAGCCCTCTGCGGACAGCCCCTTGGCGGAGCCGCTGGAGCGGCCGCGGGGACCCGAGGAGGACGAGGAGGCGGCGGCGGCGTCCGGGAGTCGCTGAACCCCTCCGCGCCAGGGGCGACCGGGAACCATCCTCCCCAAGCCCGGAGGCAGGATTTTACAGCCGGACGGGGCGGGGAGCCCGCTGGAGCGACCCCCACGGGAGTGAACGCCCTCTCTCCCTCCGACGGTCGCCAGCTCGCTCCGGGGGCAAGTGGCCTGCAGCCAATTCTTCAGCCAAGGGACCACGATTCGCCGGAGGTTCGGGTTTGGTCTTACCAGGACCGTGCTGCGCCGGGGCCCTGAGCCATCAGGGGACTGGGGGGAGGGGAGGGGAAATCCCAGCACCGAACCCTTCTGCGCCGCTAGCTCTGGTGTATCCTACGTGCAGGAGAGACTCGGGCTTTCCCCCAAGACTCAGGGGAAGGAGGGAGCTGTAGGGGCTCTTCTTTAATAAGCCGAAGCCCTCGAAAGGAGAAGGGCACCAAAAGTAGTGGAGCTCAGGTACGTCAACCTAGTCGCAGTGGCCACAGATGCATTTAATTTATAGATCCCTGTATATAGTTGTTGACATATGCACTAGAAGCTATAATTACATAGAACCAAATGTATCCTCCCACACCCTGGGTAGCTCCAAACTGATGGGGTCAAGCAAGGACTATTTGCTAACCCCCAAAGTGCAGCTAGCCAGAAAGGCACAAACACTGTTTTGTTTTGTTTTTTGTCACCCACTCTTTCTCCTATTTCAGAAAAATCGGTTTATGACACAAGAGAGTGTAATCATTCTTAGACTTGATGAAAGGACAATGGAAAACCTTAGGAGAAGCAGTTGCAGTTTAGGGAGGGTGGGGGATGTACTGTTCCCCTCCTCTTCCCACCCTAGTTCCCCACCGAAGAGGCTTCCTGTTGCTGCCCTAAGTATCTGGATATGGGCCAGGCAAGAAGGAAGGGAAAGAGCAATGCCTCTGCTTCAGTCCTTGGCGTTCTCCTCACAGAGTTCTTTGAGGAAGAGCAAGCTTTTGTAAGTAAAGTGGCTCCCAAGTGTTTTGTTTTGTTGTTTCTGCCCCACAAGATCTTGTCTTGTTCCAATAATCACCTGAGTCTTCCCTCTTTCCAGAGCCAGTAGTGACAGTGTTGCCCTGTAATTAGAAAGAGATCTATCGTGAAACCAGAGTCTTGAGCATGTCCTCTGGATTTTTGAGTTGTGTTGTAGAACCAGAAAGACTAAAAGGTGGGCTTCAAACTCAGGATTGTGCTTTGATAGCCAGTTAATAGGTCAGCCGTGGGAAGGTTAAGTAGGCTTGTCTTACCTCTCCTGATAAACCCTACTTGTGTGCAGCCAGTATTTTTATTGAGTTGGAAACATCAAGGGAAATTACATACATACAGTTCTCGGGCAACAAGAATTTCATATCCTCAGTTTGGATTCCATTTCCTTCTGCCACTTACTTTTAGGCTGTCAAGTGTGGATAGTGAGAAGATATCAAGCCCCTTCATTTTTCCTTTTTGGGAAATGAGGCACTTAAAAAAAAAAAAAGACAAAAACTTACCCACCTGAGTCCTGAAACTGTCTCTGCAGTTTTCTGGCCTGTATTCTAGTTACTCTGATCCAAGTTTACAGGACAACAGCCTTGTTTTAAGCCACATCCTGTTGTAGGCAAGATAATGGCAGCTGAGCTGTCCTAGCCTAGGGGCAGGCTGGTAGCACCCCCAAGGTGTCTTGGATGGAGATTTCTGAGCAGCTGACTTGACTTTGGTCATTAGGAAGCCTTTGAGGCTTTTTAAAATTTTGGTGGGGGCCTGGGGGAAAGAAACATAAAATGCCACTTTATAACTTGGATAATAGCCTGTGATTTATATTTATTGTGTGAATTTTTAGTCCTATATTTTAATAATTTGTAAATTGATATCTTATTACAAGAATCCTTTGAACTTGCAGGAGACCATCTGGGAGTCCAATCCCTGTCCCTGTCCTGACCCCCTGCATTCTGGACTGTTTAATCCACATTGGGATGGATCAGAGAGTCTAGAGAGACCACTCATAGGTCCAGCTGCTGGCCTCCTGACTCCTTAAAGCCTTCACTGGAATTGGGACATTAGCTCCAGCTCTAGCTGTGAACATGACCAGAGACATTATTTATAATTCAGCCATTCAAGATATACCTGTACTCAAAAAGTCCTGTATATTTTTTAAAAGTTTTATTTTTCAGGTGAACAAAAATACATTCTGAGAACTCTACTTAAGCCTGTGTAAGTTGACGGTTTCTCTTTTTGCACTTCTTGGGGGAAAAGTAGAAAAAAGTTGGAAGAAGAAATGACCTGAGATGTGGTAGATGGGCGGTAATGAATAGGGGTAGGAGGAAAAAGCAATTGCCCCATGCTCTCTGTGCCTAAGGCTTTTTTTTTTAATTGATTAGTGAAGGGTGGCAGGAATCCATCTTAATCAGGAAACAATCATGGAGTCGGAAGAACAGTGAAATCTAGTTTAGCCACCTTTAGCCAACCTTAAAAAGGTTGAAAACAGTCATGCTTTTAAAGGACTCCCGTAGCTGAGGAAGGTAAGGGAACAACAGTAAGCATGCATAATAAGAATTATTACAAAGATTGAGCATCGCTGTTCTCCCCTTTAAACCACTGGCCCCTAGGTAGCTCAAGAAGTGCTACAGGGATATACCAGCAGTTGTTGGTCAGAGCTTTGTCTACAGTGGAGGAGGTGAAAGAGCCAAACAGCTAAGAGGAGATGTAGGTTGCTTCAAAGGTGAGGCTTTTCCTCCCCATAAAGCAAACAATAAAAGACATGTGGGTGAAAAGCACAAATATAAGGGATTAGTTATGCTGCACAATACATGACCTGCCGCTGAGCTCAGCTCATTACTAGACAATGCTGCCCAGTACAAACAGGAGTGAGAAGCCAGTGTTGGTGGGGCCCCCTGAGGCCTGTACTTCTTCAGAGCTGTTGGGGGTGGCTGCTGTGATTTTTACATCACCTTGTTGGCTGCAGGGAACATGGAAAAAATCCGCCCTTCTTTTATTTCCCTCTTCAGCCTACACAATGGCTTTCAGTGAGAGGGCTTGGTAAGTTTCTGAGGTTCTTCAGGCCCTTCTTTCTGTAGAAGGTGACATGTGGCTTCTGCAGCTGCACATGGCTTCACACATTGGGTACATAACAGCAGTGTGTGCAGCAGGAACCTGCTGGCCAATGAAAGCAGGGACCCGGGCATGCAGAGTGGTGGAGGTGTAATAGCTTTATTTTCAAGGGTTAGAAAGTAATTGCAAAACTGTCCATCAGGCTTCAAATAAAATTTTAAAAAAGCATCTGTCCATCAGGTTTGAGCCAGGAAGGAGAGGTCTATACAAAGAGATTCCTTCAACTACTTTGCACCTGGACTGCTAAGGTCATTTTTAGGTGTCTTGAGTATACTAGAAGTTATTTGTGTGTTTATTCCCTGACAGCATGAGTTTGAAAAAAGAGAGAATCATCTTTCAAACTGAAGTTTGGGAGGGTGAAGGGTAAGGAGTTTGCTAAGCCGTTTAAACTGCATTTGTTATTTCTTTCTTCCCATGATGCTGAGGTACAAAGTGGTGTTTTCTGATGTTTCAAGCATAAGAAACACTTTTCTATCTAACAGCTCTAGATTTCTACATGGTCTGAGACCCCAGCTTTGTTAGCTTTTCCATCTACCTTGTTTTGCAGTTTTCACCAGGGAATTCTAAGATAGTATGTTCTTTTGGTTTAGTATTATTTATATCCTGTTTTGAAATGCTGAATGGAGAGCATCTACTTGTTTCTACATGTTTCTTTAAGGGAACTGAAAGGTCAGGTCCCAAGCTGTAGGGCCACCACAGTTACTTAAAAGGGGTAGTATTGTCCTCCCCTTCCTGTCTGCAGAGAATGGAGGTATTTCTGGAATTGCAATGCAACAACAAAAGGGCCATAGCTATACTTTCTTTTTTTTTGTCTCCCTCAGTGGTGGGAGAGACCACAATGGCTGTGCTCATTTCACAGAACCAGCACTAAGCTCAGTGCCTGGCACACAGTAGTAGGTACTCTGAGTTGGTTGATCACTGGGGGATATTGGATAAAATTGGCCCTAGTGTCATTGTGGTGTCATTATCATAATCCACTTGCGTACCCAAATCCCCAGCCCATAATCTGGCTCAAGGGAGTGGACGGCTGGGGGACCCCTGCAGATCACATCTGCTCTGGCTGCACGTCTTTATTTCCAAGTTGAAGGACTTAGTCTTGACCTGTCTGTTCTCTCCAGGCTCCAGAAGCCCACAGCTATATTCCATGTGCTGCTTAGAGGAGGCAGCATGGAATGTGTGACCCATTCTTTGTCTCCTTTGTTCTAGTCTTATGGCTTAAGGTTGAGCTATAAAAATACCTGCTCTATCAACAGTTTTTTGGTCACATCTGTTTTACTTGCTGACATAGCTTGTGGGATTCTGCTGCCAGAAAATCTGTGTTACACTCTTTGTTCCCTTTAGTACCTAATTAAAAAAAATACAAAAACAAAACCATGTTAACCACCCACCCAGACTCTACCAGGCTCTCCATCCTACATGCAGAAACAGCCATGGCTCCCAGTGTACACCATGCATGTGAGCCACCTATCAATAAGAAGCATCCAGGCCAAACCAGTTTCTCTGTGCCCCATTCAATTCTATAAACAATATTAGGCTACTGCTAAGGGACCAGGAAAGTACTACACAGTTCTTCCCCTCAAGCCAACAAGAATCTACCCTTACTATTGCCCTGTTTTCTTCAATAATCTGACTTTTACGCTAGTTTGTCAGTTAAGCAGCAATAAGATTCTAACATTCCTTAGAATATTTTCCATAAACCACTAACATTAATTCAAGAACTAAATCGTACTTACAGTGTGTGAAGTGAGCCTCAAAAGTCCCAAAACCAACTTGTTCAGAAAAGAAATTGTGCTGATTAACAAGCATTTCCTTTTAAATATACCTCTCTCTTTTACCTCTATGTTCAGAGTCCTGAGTTGAGTCTCCCCTGACTTTGCGTCTGGGAGGCCACCTGCCCCTTCTTCTCCCTGCTGGTGGTCTAGCAGTGCTGAGTTGCATCAGGCAGTCTATGAGCCATCAGCTGCTCACAGCATCATGAGGACCTGGGCTGGGGAGACAGTGTGTTCTTGGGATGGACCCCTGAACTGGAAAACAGGAAATCTGTGGACTCAGCAATGGCACTGGTTATGGCCCTTGACCCCTCTCTTTCCTCCAGCACAAATGGTATTCATGAGAGCAAATGAAGGTCATAGATGTGACAGGGCTTAGGGATCCTGGCAATAAAAGTACAGTGCATATACATGAGGTAATATATTTTCAAGGAAATGTCTGTCCCTTTGGGCAAAAATTCATGGAAGGAAATGTGAAGGGGCAGGTAGGAAACATACCAGTGCCCAGACCATTGCATCAGCGTCACCTGGGAACTTATCAGAAGCGCCATGTTTTCTTTTCCCTCTGATTCTCTAACTTAGGGTATTCCTGTTTTGACAGATGGTTATCAAGATGCCTTTTCACCCTCTTTCTTGGTTGAAGACAAATACCCTGCTTGGCGAGAGGCAACACTGATTACATTTTTTATTCTTTTTGACATTTGCCAGAGAACGTGCCCTGGAAAGAGCCCTCCCTTTTCCTCCCCCTCCCACAAAGGTACTGATGTGTTTGCCTCACCTCCTGCCCTGGGGCCTGCTGCTCCTCGAGCCAGTCCTTAAAAGGAGCAGTGGGTGCCACATTTGTTCTTTCTGGTGCCAGGTCTGTGCTATTTCACTCCCCCAGCGTCAAGTGGATGCTTAATGAGCGGCTGTGACGTAGGCCAGCAGACTTGAGAGCAGCCTCGGTCTGCTTTACACAGGCTCTTCTCACTGCCTGTCCAGCTGCAGGGTCTTCCCACAGCAAGGTTGTGGTCACCCTGTGTCAGCCTTTCCTCGTAAGCCTTGACAGCCCTCACTCACAAAGAGGCTCGCCGGAGTCTGTGGGCACTGATAAGTGACTCGAGGAAGAAGTGAGAGCCTTAGTTTCTTCTATTCCCTTGCCCCCACTGGCTTAGTCCAGAAGAAAGAAGATAAGGCCGTATGGGGATTTTTGCCATTTCCTTTGTTGTGTTTGGAGGCTAGTAACCATCCTGTCCAACTATTCCTGTCCCTGAGGACAGGATTGGGGCAGAGTTGACTGGTGGTCAAAACCTTCCAAACTTGTGCCTTCTTTGATAGCTGGGGAGCCCCTTGTCTCCAGGGATCCCCAACTACTTGTCCCTTGAGTATAAGAAAATACAGTCATGCTGCTCTGTTGGATGAAAAGACTTAACTTGGGAAGGCCTGGAGCCAATTCACAGGGAGTTTGTTTCTGGGGAAAATATTAAAGAAGCAAAAACTGGTGGGAGTTCACAAGATTACTCCTGATGTAAACAGAAGGAAAGAGGAGCCACTGAGTTGTGAGAGCTCATGCAAAGTCGGGAAATGCGGTGGACAGCCTTGGGGTGCAGCACAGGTGAAGGCAAAGATGCCCCTGTAAGAGGAGGGTCTCTGCACTAGATTACCCAAGGGGAATAAAAGAAGCCCACGGTCCTGGAAGGCTGGGTACCAAGCTTTGTTTCTCTAGAAGCCTGTTGACCCCAGTGAAGATGAGTCTAGAAAAGAAGATAAAGGAAAAGATAGAAAACAGTGTAGACATATCACGCCAAATAGCTACTTCATTTATTCAACAAATATATATATTTGCTGATTGCCTGCTGTGTGCCAGGTATATTTTGCATACTCTTTAATTTTCTCAACAACCCTTCAGGGTAGGTACTACTAGCCTTGTTTTACAGATGAGAAAACAGACTTTTAGAGGTTAAAATTGACCAAGTTCACCCAGCTAGCAGGTGGCTGACCTAGGATTCATTTTCAGTCTACCAGATTCCAAGACCCATGTCTGTTCCACTCTACTATGCTGCCTGTCATCAAAAACACTCCTCCCTTGTGGTATGTGGCCTGCCTCTCCCCTCTGCAAGGTGGTGTGGGTCCAGGGCAGAGATGTCTTCCACCTCTTCCGCCCGTCTTGTTTTGAGGCCTTAGGTAAAGCTGTCATCCCTCTACTGGCTCCCTACCATGCTGTCTACCCTCCCTTCTCAGTTCTTCCAGCTCTGTGCTTGGATTCCTGAGAGCCACGTCTCCTGAAGGACTTCGCACCTTTGAGGAGTCGTCTAGTCTACTAATTGGTGAGGAGAAGAGCATCCAAGC